GGCCCACCCTGGCAGCCTGATTCACCGGGTCCCGAATTGTCCTTGGATTGCCATGCAGGCTTGGATGCAGGCTCCTCAAGGTTAGGGTTTGAGGGACTGTTTCCCAGTGAGGAAGGGCCAGGCCCTGGTATAGACGGCAGATTCTGCTGTGCACTGCCGAGGTGGGTTGTGCTGGGCCAGAGCCCAGAAGGAAGCCTGCAGCTTCTCAGAGCTGCCTTACTTAATTCCAGGTACTAATCCTATTCAGTTATATTCATTGCAAATATCTTCCCTGAATATGTGGCTTTTAAATTTGCTTGCAGTGTCTTTTGTTATACCAGAGTTTCACATTTTAACATGGTTAACTCTACCAATCATTTCCTTATGGTTTGTGCTTTGGTTGTTTGATTGAAGAAATTCTTTCCTAACCCTAACTTTCTTAAAGAAGCTCAGAAGGCAGGACAACTGCAGGAGAGCATTCTGCTGGTCTACCCAGGGCTGCCACCTTGTGGGGAACTCAGGCAACGGCAGCAGCCTTTGTTCAGCAGTAACCCAGACTCATTTGCAACCACTGGGGTTCTCACCTGGCTTGGGGATATTTGGAGAGTAAACCGTTTAAAGGAATTTTTCACTGGAGTTTTTGAGGTGTTTCCTACCAGTCAGGGCTATCCAGTCCAGACCCTGGACCTTTTTTAGACATGGGTAGAAGGCATTGGTTGACCAGATGTCAGAGTGCTCTCCATTACCTGTGTGGTTGTGGGTCTGTCCCTTCTTCTGGGGTGCCCTGTCACTGCTCAGTGGTGGGCGCTCTGCCAGGTGATGTCCCTAGTGTGTCTTCTGGTTCTCATTGTCTGCACTGGGTGGATTCAGGTGTGCTCATTTTGTCCTGCTCTCAGCCCGAGTCTCGTTGGCCAGGTGATTTATGGAAAAGAATCATGTTATAGCTCCTCCATCTCATACCAGACACACACACATGCTAAGATTTAAGTGGGAAAAAGAAAACCTTAATACTTTTTTAGAAAAAAATAATAGGATGTCTTTATGATCTCAAGATAGGAAGGAAAGTATTTATTAAATAAAACAATCAAAGCACAAACCGTAGGAAATGATTGGTAGATTTAACCACGTTAAAATGTGAAACTTTAGCATAACAAGATACTGTGAGCAAATTTAAAAGCCACACACTGGGAGAATATATTTGAAATGAATATAGCTGAAAAGGATTAGTACCTGGAATTTAAAAATAACTTATACAGAGAGAAAGAAAGGTGGGCAGGAAGGGAGGAAAAATCAAGGGAATTGAACAGGCAATTCATGGAAGAGAAAATGTGTGTAATCCGTAAACATAGGGAGAGTTGCTCATTCTCTCTAGTAATTGAGAAATGTAAGTTTAAAAAAAGAGATACTATTTTTTTGTTGTTGTTGTTCATGGGATTGACAATACTTTAAAAAAATCTAACCACCTCATAGTAGCTACAAGGTATAAGCAACCCAGGTATACATTGTCGAATGAGTGGATAAACAAAAGGTGGCACATCCGTACAATGGAATATTATCCAACCCTTAAAAGGAAGGAGATTCTGACACATGCTACAACATGGGTGGACCTTGAGGACATTGTGCCAAGTGAAGTAAGTCAGTCACAGGCAAATGCTGCATGATTCCACTTATAGATGAGTTATCATAAGTAGCCAGATTCGTAGACACAGAAAGTAGGATGTTGGTCGCCAGCAGCTGGGGGAAGGAGAAAAGGGGGAGTCGTTGTTTAATAGGTGTAGAGTTTCAGTTGTGCAAGATGAAAAAGGTCTGGAGATGGGTTGCAACACAGTGTGAATGTACTTCACACTGCTAAACTGCACACTTAAAAATGGTCAAAGTGCCCAAGAGGGTAAATTTTATGTTACTGTATTTTGCCACAGATAAAAATTTTTTTAAAAGCTCTGACCTTTTTGACATCCTGGCGAGGATGCGTTGGTGACAGTAACTCCCAGAACTCCCACCCAGAGCCGGTGGCGGTGTAACTCGGCATCTCCACTTCGGAGAGCAATTTGGTATTGTCCAGCAGGTGCGAAAAACGCCTACCCCAAGCCTTAGCCACCCAACCCCTGGGTATTCAGAGAAAAACCTCACACGTGTGGGAAGGGGATGTGTACAACCATGTTCATGGCAGTATTATTTGTTACAGCCAAAAAAACAAAAATATATATATATATGGAGACAAGATAAATGTCTCTTGTGATATATTGAGCCAGTGAGATACTACCTGCCTCAACTTGACTGAACCTCAAAAGCAGCATTGAATAAAAAGAAACACCTATAATATGAAATCGTTATTTTTGAATACATACTAGTATAAATGTAATATTGTGTATGGAGATGATCCGTAGCAAATTCAGGGGAGTGATTCATCCTGACAAAGAAAGGGGTACAGTAGGGGCTTTAGTAGCACCTGTGATGTTTTATTTCTTTGAAAACAGTTTGAAACGTGGTAAGATATTAAGATTAGAGCTAAGCAGTGGGTATGTACAATTTTGGTACATTATTTGCAATGCTTTCCTGTGTGTTTGGAAAATATTCCTTTTTTGAAGAAGAAGAAGAAGAAGAAGTTGTAAATGGCAGAGTGGGACTGGGTCAGTGGTTTCTCAGTGTGCATTCCTGTTCTGCAACAGTGAGCCTTTCTACAAAACAATGAAGGTTTTAACTGCCGGAGGCGCCTATATGCTACTTTTTAAAATGAGTTTTGTATTTTGGTGGCCTTGTTAAGCTATCCCTTGAAAAAAAGAGTTCTGCTTTAAAAATAAAGAAAAAGGAAAAAGAACGAGCCTGACATGAGCTGATTTCTTTTTCTTTCTTTCTTTTCTGAGCTATTTAATGGAAGCAGAGAAATGAGCCGGTTTCTGAGATGACCTCCTCTTTACCAGTCTGCGGTCCCAGGGTCTAGTGCTTAGGTCTCAGAGGCATGGGCTCACTCTCCTCGTCTCTGTGATACTTGCTTTTTGTGTTTGTTGAGGGCCAACCCCGTCTGCACAGGGAGCACTCCCTAGTCCCGGGTGCTGCTTCTCCCGGCTGCAAAGATCTGGTAACTCAGGGCCCTCCTGAACAAGCCAGGCCATTGCTGGGCCGCTGGAGCCGGAAGGGCCAAGCCAGCTTTTCTGGTTCCGTCCTGTCATTTGAGAAATCAGGAAACTGAAACGGGAGAGGTGGAGTGACTCACCCAGGGGCTCGGGTCCCTGAGGTGCTCAGCAGAAGCAGCAGCGGGCCCCATGTCAACTGCTTAACTTGTCTTGGTTTTTTTTTTTTTTTTTTCACTTTCTTTCTCTAGAACAGTGCCAGGCATGAACCTTTAGTACCTGTGATTCTGAGTAGAACACCCTCCTGCTTTTAAAACTCTCTGTGGCTTCCCACCTCACTCAGGATACAGCCTTTGCTGTGTGTCCTCTTCTCCAAGCCTCCTTTTGAACCCACTCTGCCTTGCGCACAGGGCTCCAGCTCCTCTGCCTGCCTGTCTCTTTGTCCCTACAATACGTCTGGTGGCTCCTGCCTCAGGGCCTTTACACATGCTCTCCCCTCTGCCAGATGTGCTCTTGCACCTGCTCTTCATTTGCACACAAACTCAGAAGTCAGCTCCTTAGAGAGCCCTCCCCAGGCCCCAGCCTCTGTCTCAGCCTTCCACTCTGCTGCTCACAAGTCTCTCTCCAGCCCACTGTCCTATTTTATTTACTTTCTTGATAGTCCTCCTCATGCTCTGAAGTTATTTTCTTTGTCTGTCTGTTCACATCTTCCCATTAGGGTAAAAGGTCCACAGGGCACAGTGTCTTTCCATCCTGTCCAGTGTGACTAGCACCTAGAACAGTACTGGACGTACTAGGTACTGCTAGGGGTCCCCACCGCCATCCCCGGGCCCTGACTTGCCAGGAGGACTCACAAACTCGGGGTATAATCGCACTTGGTGGTTAAAATTATTATAACGAGGCAGGACGCGGTGGCTCACGCCTGTAATCCTAGCACTCTGGGAGGTTGAGGCGGGCGGATAGCTCGAGGTCAGGAGTTCGAAACCAGCCTGAGCAAGAGTGAGACCCCGTCTCTACTATAAATAGAAAGAAATTAATTGGCCAACTAATATATATAGAAAAAATGAGCCGGGCATGGTGGCGCATGCCTGTAGTCCCAGCTACTCGGGAGGCTGAGGCAGGAGGATTGCTTGAGCCCAGGAGTTTGAGGTTGCTGTGAGCTAGGCTGACGCCACGGCACTCACTCTAGCCTGGGCAACAAAGCCAGACTCTGTCTCAAAAAAAAAAAAAAATTATTATAACAAGAGGATACAAAGCGAAATCAGCAAAGGGGGAAAAGGCACACGGGCAAAGTCCAGAGGAGACCGGGGCAAGTTTCCAAGCGTCCTCTCCCAGGGGTGTCTCACAGGGTGCCTCAGTCCCCCCAGCATGTAGTCGGGACAACACGTGAAGTGTTGGCCTGCAGAAACCCCGCTACAGACTCAGTGCCCACGCTTTGTACTGGGGGCTGGTCATGTATCTGCCTCGCGTGTAGCCAAATTCCAGAGTCCCAGAGGGAAGGGGGTGTTCAGCACAGGCCACGCTGTGCGTACGGTCTAGATACTGGGGACCGCCCGTCACTGAAGGGAAGTTTTCATGTCACCGTAGAGGACTGTTTGCCATCCAGGTTGCCTAGAATGTAGGTAACCCAAGAATGCAAGGACTCACTATGTCTGGACCCAGATTGAGGGTCTGGACATTGGCCTTGCAAGCAGGCCTTTCTGAGAACAGAAGTCTCAGGCCTGCTAGGTTAACTGTTCTCTGCACAATACTTAAAAAGTCCTTGTGAATAAATGGATCTGAACGAATCAGCCCAGTGTGACTGCAGGGCCTGTAGAATTGGACCTTGAGACTCTCAAAGGCCCTAGGGTGACCCCTCTGTCCTGCCCCAGACTTACACAAGTCAGAGTCGGGGGGAGTCTGTGCTTCCTCCCGGGACCCTTGGCAAGTGGGACTGTCTGTGGTCCCCAGGTGTTGAAGCACAACGGGTCATCCGAGATTCTCAACAAGCTGTACGACACGGCCATGGACAAGCTGGAGGTGGTTAAGAAGGACTATGACGCCCTGCGGAAGAGGTACAGCGAGAAAGTCGCCATCCACAACTCAGACCTCAGCCGCCTGGAGCAGCTAGGGGAGGAGAACCAGCGGCTGCTGAAGCAGACGGAGATGCTGACCCAGCAGAGGGACACGGCCATCCAGCTGCAGCACCAGTGCGCCCTCTCCCTGCGGAGGTAGGCACGAGGCGTGGGCTGGGGGTGGAGATGAAGACAGCACAAATTGTGCTTTTCTTTTTCTCTCTCTCTCTCTCTCTCTCTCTCTCTCTCTCTCTCTCTCTTTCTTTTCCTCCCCTTCCTTCCCCTTCCTTCCCCTTCTTTCCCCTTCCTTCCCCTTCCCCACAGAGTCTCACTCTGTTGCCCAGGCTAGAGTGCCGTGGCATCAGCCTAGCTCACAGCAACCTCAAACTCCTGGGCTCAAGCCATCCTCCTGCCTCAGCCTCCCAAGTAGCTGGGACTACAGACATGCGCCACCATGCCCGGCTAATTTTTTATATATTTTTTTTTTTTGTCTGCTAATTTTTTTTTCTATTTTTAGTAGACGCAGGGTTTTGCTCTTGCTCAGGCTGGTGTCCTACTCCTGAGCTCAAGCGATCTTCTTGCTTTGGACTCCCAGAGTGTTAGGATTACAGGTGTCGGCCACTATATTTTTTTAGTCAAAAAAACCTTCTGTCCAGGAAACCTTTTCTTTTCTTTTTTTTTTTTTTTGAGACAGAGTCTTGCTTTGTTGCTCAGGCTAGAGTGAGTGCCATGGCGTCAGCCTAGCTCACAGCAACCTCAAACTCCTGGGTTCAAGCGATCCTTCTGCCTCAGCCTCCCAAGTAGCTGGGACTACAGGCATGCGCCATCATGCCCGGCTATTTTTTCTATAATATTAGTTGGCCAATTAATTTCTTTCTATTTATAGTAGAGACGGGGTCTTGCTCTTGCTCAGTCTGGTTTTGAACTCCTGACCTCAAGCAATCTGCCTGCCTCAGCCTCCCAGAGTGCTAGGATTACAGGTGTGAGCCACCGCGCCCTGCCCAGGAAACCTTTTTCTGACACCTCATGTATCTTGGGAGTTGTGGCTCTTCCCACCCCCATCTGAACACCTTTGGTGTGTTCTGGGCATCCTGTTTCTTAGGTCTCCCATGAGCTGCTCCTCTTGGTGGCAGTCACCCACTTAGCAAATGAAAAAGGTAATTGTCCAGGGCATTTGTCTTCTATAGTTTCATTTTTTATCAAGGAATATCATCTTTAGAGATGTGATATGCACCACTTCTTCAGGGTGTCCATCAGTTTCACATGGAAAGTGTTCTCTGGGCCTAAACAGGTTTAGGAATTGCCAAGTTGAACCCAGACAGATGACTCTGTTGCAGGACTTCTCAGAGCCTTCATTGTGGTGCTGTGTACCATTTAGAGATGCAGAGCTTCCAAAACATAAGTCATCAGGGAATGTACGTTGTTTTCTTTTCTTTTTCTTTTTGGTAATGTAATGGAGCTCCACACAGGGTAGGTGTTCTGTGTTTTTTGTTTTTTTTTTTTAGACAGGGTCTCGCTGTGTTGCCCAGACTAGAGAGCAGTGATATCATTCTAGCTCACTGCAACTTCAAACTCCTGGGTTCAAGTAATCGGCCTGCATTGTTTGGCCTCCTGCGTAGCTGGAGCTACAGGCATATGCCACCATGCCCGGATAATTTTTCTATGGGTTTTGTTGTTGTTGTTGTTGCTGTTGTAGAGATGGGGTCTCACCATGTTGTTTAGGCTGGTCTTGAACTTCTGGCCTCAAGTGGTCTTGCTGCCTTGGCCTCCCAAAGTGCTAGGAATACAGGTGTGAGCCGCCACCAACACTGGAGATATTATCCAATCTTATGGCTCTAAATATTCTGTATAGTCTCAAATATATATATCTAGCTCCAATATCTCCCCTGAACTCCAAACTGCTTACTTGACATCTATTTTGAGATATCTGTCTAGTAGATCTCTCAAATTTAACATGTCCCAAAACAAAAGTCATGCTATAGTCTGTTTTCAGTTCCAAACTTCTTCTTCCCAAAATTCTCTGTCTCAGTAAATAGCATCTCCATTGCCTAGCTGTTCAGGCTGAACATTTTGGAGTCAGTGTCTGTGCCTCTCCTTTTCTTGTATCCTATCTGCAGGGTAGATGTTCTGAGGAACACACTTTGAGAAATACTGCTCAAGAGCAGCAGGTTTTGGTTTGCAGGTTGCCTGTGCGAGGGTGGCTCCTGGCCAGGAAGGACTGAGCTGTGCTCTCGAGTATCCTTACGACCTTGGGCCAGCTGCCCACGTCACAAGGCCGTACTACCCGTATCTGTAAAACGAGGCAGTCGGACTAAGTGATCATTAAGGCCACTTTTTAATCTCTCAGATGCTGTGATCCTGGTATTGTTTGGTCTTTATTATTTTTAAAAAAATAACGTGGCTCAACTGTGGGAGAAATACACTGTTATTTCTAGTGGAGCAGAGGGCATGAAGTCCTCAACTCGGGGCATTTATAAAAGGCTGAGACAAATTCCAGGTCTGGGAGCGCTGGTACTCCGTGACTTTTCTCTCTTGGGGGTGCAGAGAGTGACCTCACTGGAAACTTCATGCTTGACTGTCCAGCACAGCGGAGCTGGCGGGAGGTGGCGGAGCGGCCGACAGCTGACCGGGCAGGCCCCCACCCCTCCCACGGCCCGCCGCCTTTCTCCTTAGGTTCGAGGCGATCCACCATGAGCTGAACAAGGCCACGGCCCAGAACAAGGACCTGCAGTGGGAGATGGAGCTGCTGCAGTCGGAGCTGACGGAGCTGAGGAGCACGCAGGTGAAGACAGCGAAGGAGTCCGAGAAGTACCGGGAGGAGCGGGACGCCGTGTACAGCGAGTACAAGCTCATCATGAGCGAGCGCGACCAGGTCATCTCCGAGCTGGACAAGCTGCAGACCGAGGTGGAGCTGGCTGAGTCCAAGCTCAAGAGCAGCACGTCTGAGAAGAAGGCGGCCAGCGAGGAGATGGAGGCGCTGCGGCAGGTAGGCGGGTGGGCGGCGTCTGGATTCGACGCTTGCGAGGTGCAGCGAAGGGCTTCTCGTTTGAGGCCTACGTGCTGCCTGGGTTATCAGACACGGCCCTGGGAACTGAGCTCGTCACGCCCAGGGCTCAGCTCTAGTCTGGGCTACAGGGGACAAGGGAGGAGGGAGGTGCAGCCACAGTCCTGGACATCTGGAGCGTACAGACCAGGAGTCATTGCAGGTCAGTCTCGTGCAGAAAGTCAGTGGTGGCTCAAGGACGTGCTTGTTATGAAGCAAGATCCCAAGGCCAAGTTCCCCAAACCATGGCCATGTTAGGCCTTGTGGGTCTGGGAGAGCATGGTTTAGGGGCTCTTTTCTGCCAGCTGTGTGCATCTGACCAAGTCTGCTCTGCAAAGAGTGTTCCGGGCTCCTGTTGGGAAGATGTCTTTCTCCTAAAGCCTGGCTCTCTAGAGATTGTGCCTGCAGGGTTGGGGGTCTGGGGTGTTCAGTAGCATTGGATTTGGGTCACTTAGCTCGATGCCTGGGTGCTCAGTGTGGATTCTCTGCATCTTCCCACCTGCCACTACCACCTTGTCACGGATACTTCTCGCCCTGAGTCCAGGTGTGCCCCACGGGCTCGGACAGGCCCGTGGAGATTCCCTTCCCATTCTCTCCATCAGTGTCCTGGCTCTGATTAGAGCCTCTAGACATAATCGCAGCAGATTTTCCCCATGAAAACAGTTCTGTGTCCATGCCTCTATTCTGTCGCTTTTCTGCACAGGTCAGTTAGAATGCAGGTTTCAAAAGTGGTGTGTGAGAGGCGAGAAGCCAGGTGTCAAAGGTCAGGCAGATTGGCAGGGATGCTGTGCATTGGCTTATTCCATCCAGGTCCCTCGGTGCCGGGCACAAGGCAGGGCTGACTCCTAAGGGGTGGCCGGGCTGGCCTTCAACCAGCGGTGACGCCTCCTCATGCAAGGGTACATGGCCTTGTGCTTGGAGATGGAGCCCGTCTTACTCTCGTGAACTCTCGCCTCTCTGGGCCTCGGTGTCTTCATCTGCAAAGTGGAAGTAGTGGCATCCGCCCCACAGGGAGCTTGTGATCATCAAAGGGTCTCACGTGGAGAGTGCAGTTAGCATGGTGCCCACACAAGCAGGAATGGCTTGAGTCTTGTCTTTACTATTAAGATTATTATCACGGCCACCTGAATCTTGCTGCCCGGTTAGGGTTAGGGCAAACACCACGGAACTGTTTTTGTAGGTAAAAATCAGCCCTATAATGGCCATTTCATACAGAGAGGACCGAGACTTCTCCTGACCATTGATGCAAAAGCCAATGTGAAGCCAATGTATTTGCTCTGATGAAATTTTCGAAAAGACCATTATGCAAAGAAATTTTTAGCAAACAAAGATGATGCACCAGATCTTGGTAATTGTCCTAAAAACCATCAGCTCATTTTCACATCCTGGTGTCTGAGCACATAATTGTCGGGGGAAAGCATCTGCATCAAATAGGGAAGACACAGTGGTGAAGAAAGAGAACTGAAATTGACTGATCAGTGACAACACCGAAGGGTCACAGAATGTCATACACATGAAAGGTGAGCCAGACAGCGAGCCCACATGCATGGATTTTAGAGCTTTTTGAAGCTTAGTTAACTTTGTAGACTCTTTGTAGAAATGCAGAAAGCACAGAGAAGTGTGGGGAGCACTGCATTCCCCACAGTGCTGGCGTCTGAGCGGCAGCTGGTCACCCTGCGTGCACTTGGGCGCGCCCTTCAGCCTGGAGCCCGGTTCCGCGGGGGGTATTGGCCGGGCGTCAAGTCTGCTTGTCAGCTGAGGCAGGAATCTCTTCCAGGCTCTGTTCCGAGTCAGCAGGCAGGAGAGGAGAACCCCTGCCCCGGCAGCGGCCAGAGCCGAAATCCTCAGCTCCTGCTCAAGCTGGTCTGGCGTCATGCACGAGACCTCTCCCCAGTGCAGGAAGAAGCCGGCTCGAGGCGCGCTGGGGACTGACCCTACGCACTCCAGCTGCTGCCTTTTGGGGTCAGCGGGGGTCGGCCTTCCATCCGGCCTGGCTCCCTGCTTGCCGAGTGGTCTTCACTCTGTTTCTGAGATTGTACTTCCACCCTCCTGCTCTTCGTCTGCTCCTTCCTTTTCATTCTCCCTTTTATGTGAGCTTATGAGTGGTTTGAGGCAAACGGCAGCAGATGGAGGCCCGGGGGTGGGGCTGGGGCTATTGGGGTCTTTGCTTCACTTGGGACTCCGGGTGGGCTCTGTTCTCCTCTGCCCAGCCCCCAGGGTGAGCATGTCCTCAGGGGCTTCCCTCACAAGGCCCCTTCTTGCCTGTGGCCACCAGCCAGCCTGTCCAGTGAAGGCTCATTGATCACAGGAGGGTGAGGAATGGCCTCTGGGAAGCTGTGGGCCACTGCCCTGCCACAGAGGTTCTGCCAGGTGCCAGCTCTCTTTCCCAGGCCCTGCCGACTGAGCCCCGTCCCAGAGAAGGCCCCGCACCGTCACTCTGGCCAGCAGCAGCTTCCCCCGTCCCTGCCTTCCTGCCGTGCCCCAGTGTCGCTGGCTACAAGTCCAGCATGGGGGCTGAGCTCAGCTGTGCTGGACAGAGACCAGGCAGTGCAAGGACAGGAAGGATGATTTGTGGTAGAGGACAAGGCAAGGCAGCAGGGTGGCGCTTCCAGAGCTCAGTGCAGTGGTCTGCTGGGACAGAAGTGGCAGGTGCCATCCCCTGAGAGCCGTCTGCTCATAGCGCAGCCACCACACCCGGTGGGACCCTGGAGTATGCCCTGGCCGCCGAGGGGGTGGGGTGCAGCCCACAGGTCTCTGTCACTGGCTTCATGCCTGGGCCAGACAAGCGTCTTGTGAAAACCAGCCCATCTGTCCCTCAGGCCTCGCGGGGCAGGCAGGAGGAGGCCTTGGATGGTGCGTCTGCGGACGTAGGTTTGGTGCCGAGGGCAGCGCAGGCAGCGAGAGCAGCACTGGAGCCTGAGTCCGCTCTCCACACGAGGGGGGGGCCCTGGGCAGGTCACTTCCTAGATCCTGTGGCCCCTCCTCAGTGTGATTAGGGTGGGAGAGGGGGATCGCTGGGTCTTCTCGGCTCCCATGTTCCACCATCCCTTTCAATACACCTCATTCCTCCCGCTTGCTAAAACCAAGTATCGTACCGCTTGCGTTTCTCATAAGGAAACAACGTTTGGGGGGTGAACACAGAGAGAGGGGACATTCGGGAGGGTGGGGTCGCCTCAGTGCCCTGCTGGACAGGGCTCCAGCTGTGGCCTCCCAGCCTGAGATCATTATCCATAGCGAAACGGAAAAAACCTTTCAGGGAAAGCAAGTTTTAACACATTGCAAATATAAAACTGTTATATAAATCTATTAAAATATTGAGTAAAATGTAAATTTTTTTAAATGTGATTTTTTTCTTTTTAATTGATATGTATTTATTAGAACAAATTCTTGACAGAATTAATGATGCAAATAATTCTTTAATTTTTTAAGTTAAAATTTAAGAAAAAATTTTTGAAAGCAACAGACAGACACCCACACCACATAAAAGCAGCCAAAAAAAAAAGGAAACTGAAATGATTTGGATTGATCTTGGGAAACGTGAAGTCCGACCAAAGCTCACCACTGTGTCACTCTCGAGGTTCTGTGCACAGTTTTCCCAGCTCCTTCTGACTCGAGCCTGGAGAGATGAGGGTAGTTGTAAGCTGACTCCGGGTGTTTTCCTGTGTCTGCATCCTCGAGTCTTGGTTGGCACCTGAGATCTCCCTGAAGGAGCAGAGGCTGCCCTCCCTGTTCCCTGGGGAGGGAGCCGCAGCATGAGCGGAAATGCTCTTCCTGTGCCCGTCTTCCTGCGTCTTGCTGCTCGGGGTGGAGAGTCCTGGCCTGGGGACACCAGTGTCCTCGCTCTGCCGGCATGCTTCTCTTTTGCTGGTTCCAAAAGTAGGAGTTGTTCTTGCAGCAGGCACTCACTCTGTCATTCATCATCTCTCCACGTCTTCTAAGGACTATGGAGGCGTAGAGGGGCTTTTCACTTGAGTGCTTCTAAGAGTTTGACTTGAAATTTTAGCGGAGCATCTAACTCTCTAGGGAGGTGTCAAGATGCAGATGCCTCAGATTTCGGCTTTTTAAATGAGCTGGGATACACAGTACTTCACCTGCAAAAGTGCCAGTATAGTTTCATCTTTAAAATAACCTGGTTTGCCAGATTAACACAGCCAGCATTGCAGACACAAACGGGGAGACCTTATTACAACTGTGGCTGTACAGTGGGTGCAGAGGGGTGCCGGGATGCTGTTTCCCTCCACCCAGCCCCCTCGAGCTCCAGCAAGACCCTGCGCTGGTGGGAGGTGCTTCAGGTCCAGAGGCTCAGTGACCACTCCCTCCCTCTCCCCCAGATCAAAGACACGGTGACAATGGACGCAGGGAGAGCCAACAAGGAGGTTGAAATCCTTCGAAAGCAGTGCAAGGCTCTGTGCCAGGAGCTGAAGGAAGCCCTCCAGGAGGCAGACGTGGCCAAGTGCCGGCGAGACTGGGCCTTCCAAGAGCGAGACAAAATCGTGGCGGAGCGTGACAGCATCCGGTACGGCGCGCCCAGGGCCGGTGTGGGCTCGCGTCTCCCCAGGGTGCACTGAGGTCTGAGGGGAGGGTCAGAATCGTTTACTCTGTGTCCAAGTAAGGTGGGAGTGACCCGGGTTTCTCCCTTCTCGCCCCTAGATGCTGCCCCAGCCTCGCCCCCTAGTTTAGAATTTCCCGCATGGTCTCCTTCCCATTTCACTTGGCCCTGGGTGTCACAGGTGTGCGCTGTGTCCGATGAGACCCTGTGAAGTAGCGCAAGGCCAGCCCTTTGTCTGTGAGGGCTTCTGACGAGACCAGCACATCAGAGACCCTTTCTTCCAGCCGTATTCACTGGGTGCCTACTGTGTGCTGGAGTCTTAGATCCCTGCGCAGGCAGACCTTGGGAGAGGCTCCCCCACGTGTGCGATGCCTGTCGGGCCCGGGCAGCTTGGGCGGGCGGGACAGTGGGCAGAAGGTGCACGAGTGTGGATTCCAGGCTCTCCGCCAGGGCTGTGCTGGGCGGGCAGGGCGTCTGGGCTGTAGGGTGGTCTCCCCAGGGAGCCTGGAGGCATGAGCGGGATATCTCCGGGTGGAGAAGGGAGAGGGGGTTGCAGATCGAGGGGACCCGAGTGGTTTACTCAGGGCAGGTGACTCACAGGGAGGGCAGGTGTGAGGGCCTCGAAGGGGAAGGCAGGCAGTGTGGACTAGATCCTTGGCTAGGGTAGAAGTGGGAGAGGCTGTGGTGGTGGTGGTGGGGTAACAACTTGGTCATTGAAACATGCCCTGTGGCTCTTCAGGGGAGAGCCCACCATCCCTGGGGGCTGGTCAGGAGATGGGGATGGCCAAACGTGGTGGTGAGGCCCTGCCAGTGGAGAGCAGCCTGGTGCCTGGTGCAGGGGAGGGAGGCCTGGTGGGTGCTCTGTCTGCTCCTGCTCTGACCTGTTCCACAGCTGTCCCCAGGGGCAGTCCTGAGCCGGGGTCTGATTGTGGTGGGGAATGTTTGGGGCTGTGGAGTGGTAGGGACCAGCCCTCTGGGCATATCCAATGCTGGAGGGTGCACAGAGCACAGGCCCCTCTGCTGCCAGGTCAACTGTCCCCACCTCCTCCAAGGTCCTCTTTTGTAGAGTCTCAGCAAGCTTGCACTTTGCACTGCATGGAGCTCAGGGCTGCGGGGATGTGTGAGGACTGGCTGCTGTCCCAGTGGGGCTCCCAGCCTAGTTGTGGAGTAGGGGGGTGGCTCTAGAAAGTCCTGCTTGTTGCTAGTTATTTTTATTTTATTTTATTTTTGAGACAGAGTGTCACTCTGTTGCCTGGGCTACAGTGCCGTGGTGTCAGCCTAGCTCACAGCAACCTCACACTCCTGGGCTCAAGCCATCCTCCTGCCTCAGCCTCCCGAGTAGCTGGGAATACAGGCATGCGCCACCATGCCTGGCTAATTTTATTTTTAGTTGTCCAGCTACTTAATATTTTTTTTTAGTAGAGACTGGATCTCGCTTTTGCTCAGGCTGGTCTAGAACTACTGGGCTCAAACGATCTGCCTGCCTCAGCCTCCCAGAGTGCTAGAATTACAGGCGTGAGCCACCGCGCCCGGCCTATGGGTAGTTATGAGACTTGCGGTGGGTGCAGAGGAGACCCCCGCCCCCCTCCGGTGTTAGAACAGTGAGTGTGTGCAGAGGGTGGTCCTAACCCAGGCACAGTGAGGGGGAAGCCGGACCTTGGGAACCTGAGGCTTGTTGCCCAGTGACTATGGAGGTGTCTGTCCCCCCAGGTCCTCGGGGTCCCATCTGTCGTGTGATGGGCTGGCCTGGGTGGTCTCATCCCCAAACTCCCGAGTGCTCTCGGGAGCACTGGGGGTGAGGCGGGGGCTGCCAGGCCGTCTGTGGGGACCAGGAGCCCCTGTCCCCCCGCCCCTTGAGGTGACCTTGCCCTCTGCCCCTCCACCAGGACACTGTGCGACAACCTGAGGCGGGAGCGGGACCGGGCGGTGAGCGAGCTGGCCGAGGCCCTGCGCAGCCTGGACGACACTCGCAAGCAGAAGAACGACGTCAGCCGCGAGCTCAAGGAGCTCAAGTAGGCTTGGGTGGGCGTGCGCCGGGGCCTGAGTGCGTCGGCAGGGGCTTGTTCCTGTGTGCAGACCTGGCTGTCTGTCCCTTCACGCTGCCTTAGTCTGTCAGGCTGTAGAATGGGTCTGAATGCCGGCTCCGTGTTGAGTTAGTGAGGAATTCTTGGGCCGCGCTTTGGTGAGCCCGTGGAGACAGGGCAGGCTCCAGGTGCCAAGGCACTAGGAAGGCCCCTGCGCCCAGACAGTCCACCTGGGGACAGGCATGCATGTAGAATCCATTCATTCATTCACTCACTCAAGGGAGAGTTATCGAGTACCTGTTCTGTATGGGCCAGCTTCTGTGAGAGGCACTGGAAACATGGCACGGAATAAGCAGGCCAAGTCCCTGCTCTCATGGGGCGCACAGCACACAGGAAGAGGGACAGACCAAGGGTAGGTCCATCAAAGAGATGAATACAGAAACGAATAAAATGACGGCAGGTGGCGATTCAGTATTTTGAAGGCAATTATAGCTACTGCCGAGCAGTCCGTTCTACCTGTGCTATTTGGATGTCTGTTTGGAAGACTGGGGTGTCAGGCAACCTTCCTCAGTTATAACACCCTCCCAGGGTGTCATTGAAACATTTGTGGCCCCCTTAGCAGAGGTTTGAAAAGAAAAAGATCAGGGTTTAAAAATAGAAATTGGCAGAGCCCAATAGCCGTCACTGTAGTCTGGAACCAGACTCTAGTTGGGGAGCAGTGACTCTCCATCCGCTCTGGGACATCTCCTCGGCTCACAGTGTGGTCAGGAGCAGCAGGAGGCTCCTGGGTGTGAGTGCAGGTGCACAAGCTTTGCACACCTGAGCGATGCCATCCAGCGGGGGGTGACAGCTTCCCTTCCTCCCTGTTCAGTAAAACTCCTAACAAGACAAACAGCTTCACTTATTAAATAAAAACTCAGACCCTCTGGAGCATGCGTGCTGCGATGAATACTTCAAGGGGTAAGAGGCAAGAGTGACAGACTCTCCCCAGGGACTCACCGTGAGTCTAGCAAGTGATGGAATCAAGGAATTCCCTTTTAAGGGAAAGCCTGGGACCTTCCCAAGCTGGAGCTTGGGAAGTTTTGCATCTTGAATGAGCTGGGGTTGCCCGAAACTACTGCGTTCCATTGGTTTGTCCATTCAGGATGTTTGCATTTGCACCTCCTCCCTGCTAAGTTCTCTAACTGGCGGGATGCTGGCGAGTGAGGCTGTGCTGCCACCCAGGGAGCCTCCAGTGTGTAGAAGCCACGGGCACGCCCCAGTGATGCCAGTGAGATGAGTGTGGTGAGGGTTGAACGCAGAGCTTCAGGCTGCACGGGGCTGGGGGCAGCGTCCCAGGAAGGAGGCGTTCAGCTCTGCTCCGAGGCTGAGTGGCGTTCTAGAGGTGGCCAGTGACAGCACAGCCCAGGCCAAGGTTTGGCCCTGGGAGCTTGTCTGCTTGAGCAGGAAACAAAAGTAGGCCAGGAGTGCGCCAAGAGCATGCCAGGGGCCCAGCAGGCAGCGTTCACGAACTGGAACAGTAGCCTGGGCCCGGATTTTAGGAAAGGGGTTGTGTGCAGGTCCCTGGGGGATAGAACAAAGTTTCTGAGTCTTTTGTTTTTTTTTTTAAACATCCTCTTTACTGGGTCTTTCTCAGAGCTAAAGTTCTTAATTGTGATGAAGTCCATTTTTATCAAATTTTTTGAAAACTTTTTTAATGGATCATGTTATATCAAAGAACCTTTCACCTAGTCCTAGAGCTCAAAGCTTTTAAAAGTTATTTTCCTTCTAAAAGTTTTATAGCTTTATGTTTTACACTTAAATCTGTGATATATAGTTGGAGTTAATTTTCATACAAGGTAAAGGGTTGAGGTTGAGATTCATTTTTTGGCCATGGATGTCCAGTTGCTCCAGCATCATTAATTTAAAAAGACTGTCCTGGCCAGGCGCGGTGGCTCACACCTGTGATCCTAGCACTTTGGGAGGCCAAGGCGGGTGGATCACTCATCATGAGGTCAGGAGTTCGAGACCAGCCTGAGAAAGATCAAGACCCCGTCTCTACTAAAAATAGAAATAAATTATATGGACAACTAAAAATATATATAGAAAAAATTAACCGGGCCTGGAGGCGCATGCCTGTAATCCCAGCTACTCGGGAGGCTGAGGCAGGAGGATCGCTTGAGCCCAGGAGTTTGAGGTTGCTGTGAGCTAGGCTGATGCCACGGCACTCACTCTAGCCCCGGCAATAGAGTGAGACTGTCTCCAAAAAAAAAAAAAAAAAAAAAAAAAGACTGTCCTTCCTGTATTGCAGTTTTCGCACCTTTTGTATTTGTGTGTGTGTCTCTCTCCCTGACAGTACCACACAGTCTCAATTATTGTAGCTGTCTAGTAACTGTTAAATCAGGTGGATTGATTTCCCTCCCACCTTATTTTTTTATTTTAAAAATGTTAGGTATCCTGATTTCTTTCCTTTTTTTTTAAATTTTTTTTTGAGGCAGAATCTCACTCTATTGCCCAGCCGTGGCGTCAGCCTAGCTCACAGCAACCTCAAACTCCTGGGCTGAAGTGATCCTTCTGCTTCAGCCTCCCGAGTAGCTGGGACTACAGGCATGCGCCACCATGCCCGGCTAATTTTTTCTATATATTTTTAGTTGGCCAGCTAATTTCTTTCTTTTTTTTTTTTTTTAGTAGAGGCAGGGTCTTGCTCTTGTTCAGGCTGGTCTCGAACTCCTGACCTCGAGTGTTCCACCCATGTTGGCCTCCCACAGTGCTAGGATTACAGGCGTGAGCCACTGCGCCCGGCCCCTGATTTCTTTTTGTGTGAATTTTTGAATGATCTTGTCTGTATCTACAAAAAGAAAAAGAAAAAAAAAAAGTCTTGTTAGCATTTGGAACTGAATTGTTAAACCTTTAGATAAACTTGGGCAGAATTTCCATCTTTTTATAAAAAACTGCTGTGAAAACCAACTGATATCGAAGAAGCCTTGCCCCGAACCCCCAGGTGTACTGGGAGGCCGGAATGCAGCACGAGGGGGAAGAGAGCCCCGTTTAGCTTTCACGAATGGCCCGCTGGGTTTGGAGCTGCTCCCTGGTGGGATGTGTCCTTCCCAACGGGCCGTCGCCATGGCGCTCTCCGTCCGCAGGGAACAGATGGAATCCCAGCTGGAAAAGGAGGCCCGGTTCCGGCAGCTGATGGCCCACAGCTCCCACGACTCAGCCATCGACACGGATTCCATGGAGTGGGAAACGGAAGTCGTGGAGTTCGAAAGGGAGACGGTGAGCTGCCTCGATGGCTCTTCTCCCCTGCTCTCCTTGACCTGCAGACTTTGGACGGGGAGGGGAGGGTGGCCCTCCTGCAGGGCCCCCAGTTTCATGGCTGCGAGTTTGGAGGTCCAGCTTTTCCTCCCAGGGTGCGGACGCATCCTCTCCCTGGGGCCGCCCAGGCTGGGTTGCAGCAGGCTGGCGTCCTGTGTCACACAGTGGGCCGCCCAGGCTGGGTTGCAGCAGGCTGGCGTCCTGCGTCACACAGTGGGCCGCCCAGGCTGGGTTGCAGCAGGCTGGCGTCCTGCGTCACACAGTGGGCCGCCCAGGCTGGGTTGCAGCAGGCTGGCGTCCTGCGTCACACAGTGGGCCGCCCAGGCTGGGTTGCAGCAGGCTGGCGTCCTGCGTCACACAGTGGGCCGCCCAGGCTGGGTTGTAGCAGGCTGGTGTCCTGCGTCACACAGTGGGCGCTGGCACGGTGCGGGGGGACGGAGGGAAGGGCAGAGCGCGGGGGGAGACGCCGGCAGGGGTGTCTGTCTGCAGTGGCCAGGAGGCGCAGACTCAGCTTCTCGTAGGCCTTCATCCTGGGGACCGAGTGTCCCATGAGATAGGAGGTGAAGGGGGACGGTCCCCACATCGGAGCGCGTGGCTTGGGGGCGGTGTGTTTCTCGTGGCTGCTTTGCGAAGTGAGCTGCTGCCGCTGCGGCTGTTCTGACAGGAGGAGGTTGACTTGAAGGCGCTGGGGTTCGACATGGCGGAAGGCGTGAATGAGCCTTGTTTCCCCGGGGACTGTGGCATATTTGTCACCAAAGTGGACAAAGGAAGCATTGCTGATGGCCGCTTAAGGTAAGAGTTGAGGCCCAGGCTCTGGAGGGAAGGTGGGGCCCCGCACCCCAGCACAGAGGCCCTGCAGAGTCAGGTAGCAGTCGAGCGACCCCCAGCTAGTCCCTGCAAGGCCCGCAGCATGGCTGCTAATGGCGCTCTAGAGACTCAGCTTCTCACTGGCCCCTGCGTCTGATTTTCCTCCAGCCACCAGGCTCTGTCTTCTGCTTCTCTGGGTAGGGAAGGGCTCAGGTGGTGTGTGTGAGGGCCTGGGGCGTGCGTCACATGCTCATTCCACGAAATAGTGATGACGGTAACACAGCTGACACTGCTGGCTGGCTGCTGAGTACTGGTTTAAGCGCTTGATACAAATTATTTACTTGATCTTTACAACCCTGTGAGGTAGGTGTGATTATTGCCCCCGTTTTACAGATGAGGACACTGAGGCCAGAGGGGCTAGGTCACACAGCTAGTAAGTGGTAGAGCCAGGATTTGAACCCAGGCTGTCTAACTTCAGCATCTGCAAGTTTAACCACTCCCAGTTTACGCACTCCCAGAAGAGGAAATCTTTCTGAACGTGTACGTGGGGCACCTGCTCTTTGGCAATCGGCCCCCTGGATGGGAGTGGCGGGCAGCGACCCACTGGACTGCACAGGTGCCGACCTGGCTGTGTCCCTCCTCAGGGTCAACGACTGGCTGCTGAGAATCAATGACGTGGACCTCATCAATAAGGACAAGAAGCAGGCCATCAAGGCTCTGCTCAACGGAGAGGGGGCCATCAACATGGTCGTGCGGCGGAGGAAGTCCCTGGGCGGGAAGGTGGTGACGCCGCTGCACATCAACCTCAGCGGACAGAAAGGTGGTGGGCCTGCAGGTGGCGGGTGTCCTTGCTCGTGGGGAGGGGCTGTGGGCGCCCCTTTGGAGTACCTCATTCACAGGGATGAGGCACTGATGCTGTTTAAATACCTCCTCTGTGCCTTCCTGGCTGGAAGTCGTCTGAGTCCCCAGTCTTGCTCATCTCTGAGCGTTTGATTCACCAGACCCGATGTAACCGAGCTCCTGGTTAGCATGAGCTGGGCGGGGTGCAGCCTGCTGACACCCCCTTTTATAAGTTTGGTTAGCAGAGATGAGCTGGGGTGACCGGAGGGCCACACGGTGAGGCCTGGGCTTACCCGGTGACCTCCTGTGTCTTGCAGACAGCGGCATCAGTCTGGAGAACGGAGTGTACGCCGCCGCCGTGGTGCCCGGAAGCCCTGCTGCCAAAGAAGGGTCTCTTGCCGTGGGAGACAGGATTGTGGCGGTGAGTCTCAAGGCCATGGCCAGGGCCGTCTGCTGCACACAACAGATTACGTTTGAGAAGGCTGAGCAAGAAGCAAGGAGCAGAGTTCTTACGTTCACCTTGTTCTTGAGCATTGCACCATGCTGACATTTAAAAATGATCTTTCTTTCTGATGGTGTGTTTGTTTACTGTAAAAAATATGGAAATACAGAAAAAGTCTAGGAAGGAAATGAGAGTCACTTGTATTGCTACCACCTGTAGATAACCTTTACTAACATTTTAAATATATTTCTCTACACACGAATGTATAGTAAGGACTAGGATGATGTTAAGGGTTTGTGTTTCATTTGCCTTAAGAAGTCCCTTACCTGGACTCCTCGGGCCTGACAGGGAGGGAATTTCTGTCCTTTGCCAACTGCTGGCTTTGGCCTCGTAACACTGACAGCAGTTGTTTGGCCCGCTGTCCAACACGAGCTGGCCTGAGGTCACTGTGCCCGCGGGCCTGACGGGCTGTCTGTCTGGGCCTAGATCAACGGCATTGCACTGGACAACAAGTCTCTGAACGAATGTGAATCTCTGCTGCGCAGCTGCCAGGGCGCCCTGACCCTCTCCCTCCTGAAGGTAAGCCCCCCGCCCCAGCCCTCCCGCCCTGCCGGGAGGTGGGCAGAGCCACAGCTCCACAGAGCTGGGCACCACGGGGATCCTCGGGACAAGAATAGTGATGTCCACAGTGCACGGCGTGCATGGACCCTGGCTGGTCCGGGTTTGGAAACAAAACCAGCCTTAAAGGCTGTATTGAGAGTTGAGTGTGTGTGAATGGACCAGGTGCTTGAATGATCCTAGGGAATTGTTAAGTTTTCTTAGGTGTGATGATGGCACTGGGGTTATTAGGTAGGAGAATGTCCTTATTTTGGGGGGTGTTATACTTTAAAGTTGTTAGGGGTTGACATGTTATAGACCAGGGGTCCTCAAACTTTTTAAACGGGGGCCAGTTCACTGTCCTGCAGACTGTTGGAGGGCCAGACTGTAGTTAAAAAAAGCCCATGAACAAGTTCCTATGCACACTGGACATATCTTATTTTGAAGTAAAAAAACAAACGGGCACAAACACCCGCATGTGGCCAGCGGCCCGTGGTTTGAGGACGCCTGTTACAGACAATGGAGACAATTTGGTAAATATTGTTGAATCCAGATGCTGGGCTTATGGGCACTTTTCTATCAACTTTTCTACATAGTTGAAAAGATTAATAATAATAGAAAGTTGGGCCGGGCGCGGTGGCTCACGCCTGTAATCCCAGCACTCTGGGAGGCTGAGGCGGGCGGATTGCTCAAGGTCAGGAGTTCGAAACCAGCCTGAGCAAGAGCGAGACCCCGTCTCTACTATAAATAGAAAGAAATTAATTGGCCAACTATATATATATAAAAAAAAAAATTAGCCGGACATGGTGGCATATGCCTGTAGTCCCAGCTACTCGTGAGGCTGAGGCAGGAGGATTGCTTGAGCCCAGGAGTTTGAGGTTGCTGTGAGTTAGGCTGACGCCACGGCACTCACTCTAGCCTGGGCAACAAAGTGAGACTCTGTCTCAAAAAAAAAAAGAAAGTTGGAAAACTTTCTATTTCATTTCATCCAATCCATTTCATTAAGAGATGTTTTCTGAATTGGCTATTTTTAAATTGATAGACTTTTAGGGGAGCAGTGTTAGGTTATGGAAAACTGGGCTGAGTGGAGGAGTTCTCGGTTTACCCTCAGCCACCCCACCCATTGCCACGAGTTTCCCCTATAATTGACATCTTGTGTTAGTGTGGTACATTTGTTACCATTAATGAGCCAATATTGAGGCATTAGTATTAGCTAAAATGCATGGCTTATGTGAGGGTTCACTCTTGGTGTTTAATATTCTGTGGGTGTTGACAAATGTGTGATGACTCATACCCCCATCACAGCACCATACAGAGTCGTTTCACCGCCCTGAAAATTCCTGCGCTCTGTCCGTTCATCCTCCCTATTCCCCGCCCCCGGCAACCAGTGATCCTTTCACTGTCTCCGTAGTTTTGCCTTTTCCAGAATGTTGTAGAGTTGGAATCATGCAGTATGTGGCTTTTTGAGATTGTCTTCTTATTTTGGTAATATGCATTTAAGGTTACTCCATGTCTTTTCGTTTCTTTTCAGTGCTGGTTAACATTGCACTATCCGGGTGTCAAGGAGAGAGGGAGAGAGAGATTTTTTAAAGGCAGTCAAGTTTAGCAGTAGGGGGTTGTATACCAACTTTAGTGACACTAATGTTAATAATTTCTGATAACCCACTACCATTGGACCAGCCAAGAGATGTGTTTTTGATAACAAATTTTTACTTTTATGTCTAATGATTTTTTTAAAATGTGCAGGACATTGTACAGGTGAGTTCAGAAAGTGCTCAGAGTTGAGAGGATTTTACGGCTCTCTTGTGACTTCACAGTGGCCAGGGCCGTGAGAAAACTCCTCTCTCAGGGCCGTGTGTGTGTGTGTGTGTGTGTGTGTGTGTGTGTGTGTGTCCATCCTCTGTCTCTCTGTCCAGGGGCGTGTGGCTCGTTCCTGCCCATCTCTCTCCCCGTGGGGACGGTTTTCAGTGTGGCTCAGAGTCCCGCCCTCTCACCTCTCTTTCTCACTTCTCTGCAATCCCTGGCCAGGTGTTCCCTCAGAGCTCCTCGTGGAGTGGCCAGAACATCTTTGAGAACATCAAGGACTCCGATAAGATGCTGAGTCTCCGTGCCCAGGGCCCGGAGGTCCAGGCTCACAGCAGGCGGAACTTGACGCAGCACAGCAGCTCCACGCAGACGGACGTCTTCTGCGAAGACGGGCTGGAGGACAGGAGGGAGCTGGGCCCCCCGGGAGGCAGCAGCCCCTTCCTGCACAAGCCGTTCCCGGGAGGGCCGTTTCAGGTCTCCCCGCAGGCCTGCCCCAGCGCCTCCGAGCGTAGCCTGAGCTCCTTCCGCTCAGACGCCTCCGGGGAGCGGGGCTGCGGGCTGGCGGACGCTCGAGGCCGGCGGCCGCTGCTGCCCTTCGAGACGGAGGGGAGCCCCTGTGGGGCGGGGGAGGCCCCGCTGGATAAGCCGGACTCCGAGGGCTCCAACAGCGGCGGGACCTGGCCCAAGGCCGTGCTCGGCTCCGCGGCGGGGCCTGAGAAGCTCTCCGTTTACAAGAAGCCAAAGCAAAGGAAGTCCATCTTTGACCCTAACACTTTCAAACGCCCCCAGACACCCCCGAAAATAGACTACCTGCTCTCAGGCCCTGGGCCTGCTCACTCCCCCCAGCCCTCCAAGAGGGTGGGGCCTCTGACACCCCCAAAACCTCCCAGGAGGAGTGACTCCATTAAGTTCCAGCACAGGCTGGAAACTAGCTCCGAGTCAGAGGCCACTCTGGTGGGCAGCTCCCCTTCCACCAGCCCTCCGGGCGCCCTGCCCCCCGACACGGACCCCGGGGAGCCCATGCACGCGTCGCCCCCGCGCAAGGCCAGGGTCCGCATCGCTTCCAGCTACTACCCCGAAGGGGATGGGGACTCCTCCTTGCCAGCGAAGAAGTCCTGTGACGAGGACCTCACCTCCCAGAAGGCGGACGAGCTGGGGCAGAAGCGGGGCCGGCCCAAGTCTGCTCCCAGTTTCCGGCCCAAGCTTGCTCCGGTTGTGATTCCTGCTCAGTTCCTGGAGGTAGAGGTCCGCCCCGGGTCGCCGGGAGTAGAGGCCCGGAGGGAGGGGGCACTTGGCCGTGGGAGGGGTCCCCAGGCTCCTGCTTAGCCTGGCTCCTTTGGGAGGGGTGGCAGGGGGATGCCGGTGGGGAGCGGCCTGCCGGAGGCAGGTGCGTGGGATGTGCACCGTAGTGCACCTGTGACACCCAGAGAGGAGCACGTTCTTGGGCGTAGCATTTGGTTTGCTTTTTCAACAAGAAGCTTTTGAACTTATCAAACCTAGTGACAGGGACTTGCCTTGAGGGGTTTAGGGAGAGGAAATGGCCCGGGTGGAGCTGAACTGCAGCAGGGCAGCCCGATGGTCTTTGTGTGCTGCCGTGCTTCCAGGAGGGAGATCGCTGGGGACTGGAGACAGACTGTCACAGCCGAGCTCGTTGGGCGGCATTATCATTTGTGCGTGCCTGACGCACACATGCATTCTCACCTTTGTCATGTGATGTCTGTATGTGAAAGAACAGAGACTCATTCTCTGCGGTTTTCTTCTGAAAGGTCTGTTAAGGAATTTTCCAGATGTGTAAAGCAACGTGAATGAGCAACAACTTCCGTCCCAACCGTCACCTTCTGTGCCCTGGTGGGATGAGCTGGCTCCTGGGGGACAGAGCCTGGCTTGTGGACGGACCCGCGTGTTTCGCTGCGTCTAACAGATGCCTCTTGCCTTTGGTTCAGCAGGAGCAGAAGTGCGCCCCAGCCAGTGGAGAGCTCTCCCCAGAGCTCCAGGAGTGGGCGCCGTACTCGCCAGGGCATTCCGGCCGGCACAGCAATCCCCCGCTGTACCCCAGCAGGCCATCTGTGGGTGAGTCAGCGGCCAGGGCCTGGGGCAGAGGGCCAGTGTGGACTCGTGGGGCCGCTCAGGCTTTAGGGAGAGAGGAGGCAGGTGTTTCAGAGAGCTGTCATGTGTCCTCAGCCCTGAGGTCCAGAGAACCAGGGATTGCTGCCCTGTCTGGGATGGTTGGTCTTGGAACCATGACGTTCCTTAGCTTGTCCAAGTGCTTTTCCCCCAGAGCAGCCTGGGAAATCGGAAGCATGGAAGAGAGTTCTCTTGTTCTACAGATGGAGACAGGCCAGAGGCCAAACCACAGTGCAAACTGGTGGTTAAACCCAGTCTTCCGAGTCCTTTTCCCAAAAGACGGTGGCTGCTTCCTGGGATATAGGGAGAAGGCTCGTGCAAGTCCAGGGCTGGCTGGGTGCTTTGGGGCGACTGTTCTCACCCAGCCCATTTCTAGGCACCGTTCCCCGGAGTCTGACCCCCAGCACCACAGTGAGCTCCATCCTGCGGAACCCCATCTACACTGTGCGCAGCCACAGGGTGGGCCCCTGCAGCTCTCCACCCGTGCCCCGCGACGTCGGCCCTCAGGGTCTGCTTCCCAGGTATGCGAAGGCTCCAGCCGTCTGTGCCCACCTGGACTTAGAGCCACTGGTGCCTAGATGGAAGGGTCCTTGCTTAGCCGGCAAGGGGCTGGCCAGAACAGGGCTGGGACCCCAGGGAAAGAGAACTTTAGGATTGCTCTCTTAATGCATCAGTGTGGAATGTCAAAAGGCATCTAAAGAAGGACGATAGCAATAGTGGCTGATACTTGAACGCTTCTGTCTTGAGCCCTGTGCCCATAGCCTTATCAGTATCATTTCATCCCGTCAGCAGTGACCTTGTGAGCTAAGTATTGTGACGACCCCTGTTTTTGATGTGAGGGAGCTGAGGCTGCCTGAGTGAACAGCTGGCTCAGGGCTGCACTGATTCATCCATTTGACAGATTGTCACCGAGCACCTAGCACAAGCTCTACCTCTTGTTCCAAGGGATGCAGTGCTGAGCTGAAAAGATGAGCCTCTGGCTCCCGTGCTGCTTTGCGTTCAAGTGTGGGAGGCAGACAGAACGCCAGGAACAGGGCAGCGTCAGATGTGCAGAGCCCCTCCAAAGGCAGTAAAAGGGGGCAGCAGGCTTGACCGTGACGTGGGACAGCGTGGCGAGTTAGATCAAGTGGTCGGGGAGGGCCCCGGCATACGTGGCGGAGGGTGCAGGACCAGAAGGCTGCAGGATGCCAGCTGCACCTGACCTGGGGGGCCTCTAGGGAGGAGGCCGTCGGTGCCGAGGCCTGGGCACCTGGGAGCAGGGCGGTGGGAGCTTGGCAGAGGGGCCGTGAGTCAGTAGGAGGTGCCAGGTCACAGGGTACAAACCCCGTGGGACGTGCAGCCATACTAGGGAGTTCAGATTTTATCCTGAGGACAGGGGAGACCGCTGGAGGGTTTCAGCAGGGAAGAGATGTCTCATTACACAGCCAGGAGAAAACACTTGTGGGGCCTGACGTGGGTGATGCCTGGCTCCCTGGCCTCTGGCTTCCTGGGCACACTGTCCTGAGCGAGTCACACAGGTCCCCTCTGTGAGGTCTTTGGTGCCGGTTCGGCTTCCCCAGTTCCACCGGGTTGTAGAGCCGCTGTTTCTCCCTGTAGCATCCCCTCCTCCCAGTGAGCCTACTCCCCACCCACCCTGTGGCTGAAGTGGGTGTGGTACTGGCCACCCCACGTGTGTGGCCTTTCTACTGCTTGAGGGCCCTTGTGGATGCCACCTCTGGAGGAAGGGCTTCTTGGCCGACAGTGGCTCCTGGGCTCCCTTCTGCCAGCTCAGGGGGCCTAGGCCTGTCCCTGTGTTGCCCCCCAATGGCCACACCCGCCCCTGGTCCTTCCCCTGAGCCCCTCACCTCTCGTCTTGTGCAGCCAGCACCAGGGACGCCTGAGCCTGGACCTGAGCCACAGGGCCTGCAGCGACTACTCCGAGATGAGAGCCACCCACGGGTCCAACTCCCTGCCCTCCAGCGCCCGCCTTGGTAACTGCGTCGCCTGGACCTGCTGCGGCAGGGCTCCAGCCTTCTCTTCCTCTCCGCCTGCATCCCAACGCCCAGCTCTGCGGGCGGCTGCCCACCCGCGCTCGGCTCCTCTCCCCTCCCGAGGCCGAGCTCGGTCCCTCCGGGGAGGGGCTGCTGCCCTCACGAGCCAGCCTCGCCCGTGCTGCCCTCGGAGCGTGGCCGGTGCTTCCGCTTTCTGCAGTAGCCGCGTGGGCGTTCAGATGTCCCTTGGCTCGCAGCCCTGCTTCCTGTCCTGAGCCGCGTGGTCATTCTGGGCTGTGTGCGTGGCTGTTCACTTGTGGAAAACGTGCACAGTCAGCCCGTGAGGGGACCCTGGGGGAGCTCTGGGCTTGGGGAGAGAAGACGGGCAGCCGCCGTGGCACTTGGGCTGCCGTTTGGGGCGGAGGCGAGGCTTGTGCGCCCCTGTTCTGGAGCAGCCTCGGCCTGCACAGCTTATTCAAATACGAGGGTGACCACGTCCTGACTGCCAGTAATACGTATCTGGGCCCTCGGGGATAAGCGGCAGGGCCCAGCCTTGCCTTTGCCTCCCTGACTGGGCGTCGGGGGGTGAGGGGTGGTGTTTAATCACAGGGTCTGAAGTTTTGTCCCCTTACGGAACAACAGGGTCTTCGGGTAACTTGCAGTTCAAGGCGGAACGCATTAAAATCCCATCCACGCCGAGATACCCCCGCTCCGTCGTGGGCTCCGACAGAGGTGAGGCTTCCCGGCTCTCCACCCCCGCCCGTCCTGCTGCCACGTGTGAGCTTCCGGGTGGCGGCTCTGGGCTCGGCAGATGTTCACTGAGCCCAGGCGAGGCCTGGTGGTGTGGGGGCTGCAGAGGTGGGAGCCCAAGGCCGTGTGGTGCTGGGGGGTCGCAGCATGTCGGGACCGTGTCTCCCCTGGGCCCTGGAGGGGAGGTCAGGTGTGCGATCACATCCGCCTTGCCCGCCCTCCCGGCAGGGTCTGTGTCGCACTCGGAATGCAGCACCCCTCCGCAGTCGCCCCTGAACATCGACACCCTGTCCGCGTGCAGCCAGTCCCAGACCTCAGCCTCCACGCTGCCCAGGATCGCCGTCAACCCCGCGTCCCTCGGGGAGCGGAGAAAGGACAGGTGCGTGTGACCGGGCATCGGTGGCACGAGCAAACCGGTGGACAGCGCACCCCGGGTGTGGCCAGGGCCCGGGCGGGGAAGCCTTGTTAGTAGGCGCAGCAGGCGTTGCGGAGCTCCGTTGTGATTTGGCCGGGGTCTGGCCGCTGCCGTTTGGGTTTCCCGGCATTCACTGGCGTCTTCCACGTCACCAGTGTGTCCCGTGGGCCGCTGGGTGCAGGGAGGTGGGGCACACGTAGGTGGCAAGGCAGGGCGTGGGCTGGGCTCACAGCAAGTGATCCTGGAAACCACCTGCCGGTGGCAGTGCTGTTGTGGCACCATTTACGCCTTTCTGGACCTTGCTTGAGCACGTCACACGTGTTAAGTCGTGAAATCCCCACAGTAACCCTGTGAGCTCCGTGTTACAGATAAGGAAACTATATCCAGAAAGGTGGAGTGGTCACCCGTGGCCACATGGCTAGTGACTGACGTGACCTAACTAGAGTCAGGCGCGTTCGTACCCTGTGCTTTTCAGCCCCGGGATACGGTTGCATCTCTGGGTTCCTTGAATTGCTCCCCCAAAGCTTTTTGCTGTGAAATGAAATATACGTAAGAAAAAAGTCCGTAAAGGCTAAATATACAGCTTAGCTATTTTTGGTTTGTTTTAAAGTACAGGCCAATCTCTCGTTAGGTTTTAGGTCAGCTTTAAGCTCAATGTCCAACCAGAGGCGCCTTCTCTGAGGGGCTCGACACACTCTGCACACGCCTCGCCCCGCTCTCTTGTCCTCTTGATGGAACTTACTAGATCATGTTTTTATTTAAAAGGTCCTGTTTAGATTGTAGATCTTCAGGGGATCTGATTAAACTCCAACTTGCCTTTATTCAGTCGCATAAAAGGACATAGCTAGTCTCATCCACCTGAATCCCAAAAAAAAAGCCAACTAGCCCCAGCCCAGCGCTATGGGTCTAAGAAGGGACCCCTATGGGGGGGGGGCCCTTACATTAGAAAATTGCATGTGGGACTTGAAGATCTGAACTTAGACGACAACAGACCTGGCAAGTGTTGACCAGAGAGGGAGCAGAAGGACACTGAGACACCAAGGGCTGGCTCGGCAGGGGAGTCGGAGCAGCTCACAGGTGAATGTTGGGGGGCTCTCACCCACGTGCTGCACACGGAACACAGCAGGCCGCTCGCCCGGCCCCAGCCCTGCTTGCTGAGAGAGCAAGACCTGCCTCTGGACGGAGCGGGTTCCTCAGTGGAAATGGCCTTGTCACGTGTGACAGGCACTCCCTTAGCTCCCTGGGGTGTACAGAGAGCCAGGACCTGCTCGGGGAGAGAGGAAAACGTGAGTGATTTCTGTCCCCATGGTGCCTGTGATCTAATTAGAGACTGAGCAACAGCTTACTTTTTAAAAATAGCCCCTGGCCAGGTGTAGTGGCTCACACCTGTAATCCTAGCACTTTGGGAGGCTGGGGTAGGAGTACCGCTTGAGGCCAGGAGTTCAAGACTACCCTGGACCACATAGTGAGACCCCATCACTACAAAAAAATAAAGATAAAAATGGTCCCTTTTTCCTGATCCTGAGGTATAGTATTATATACTCATTGTAGAAAATTGGGAAAATTGCAAAAGTAGAAAGAAGAAAAAAGTTACATATAATCTTTTTGGCCAGAGATTCAATTGCCATTAACCTTTTAATTTATAGATGTACTTTTTTTTTTTTTTTTTTTTTTTTTTTTGAGACAGAGTCTGTCTCTGTTTCCCGGGCTAGAGTGCTGTGACATCAGCCTAGCTCACAGCAACCTCACACTCCTGAACTCAAGCGATCCTTCTTTCTGCCTCAGCCTCCCAAGTAGCTGGGACTACAGGCATGCATCACCATGCCCAGCTAATCTTTTCTATATATATTTTTGGTTGTCCAATTAATTTATTACCGTTTTTAGTAGAGACGGGGTCTGACTCTTGCTCAGGCTGGTCTTGAACTCCTGACCTTGAGCGATCCTCCCGCCTTGGCCTTCCAGAGTGTTAGGATTACAGGCATGAGCCACCACGCCCTGCCAAGATGTATTTTTAATGTATGCTTTATTATTTATATTGTTTTATGCACATATCACGTCTTCTTTAACATTATATTTGTAGCTATTTGTAATGTTAAAATTATACTTTATAAACCTCTTACAAAGCAGCCATGTTGTTCTGAGAGAACCTTTGTGCATATTATAAAAAGTTATTCAGAAGGTTAAAAAAGGAAGACTATCTCGGATGCCTTCACCTAGACATACCATTGTTAACATTTTGGTAAGGTCCTGCACAGACACCTCCTTACACATAAGCACACGCCTACTACATGTGTGCACAGGTGAACATGGGTGTCCCTGGTCTGCCCTCACACTCTGCGGAGTGTCCCCTATATCTTTGCATGTCCGTAGGTCCTGATTTATGTCGTCATTCCCAACAGGTTCATGGCTTCTCTTGTACAGTTACTGTTGGGACTTCGTTTCTGCTCCTTTATTGAGATAAATGTGCTGTGTGGGGGTGGAACCGAGGAAAGGGGCTCGGCAAGAAAGGCGGGGCCCAGACCAGGAGCTGGCTCTGCCCCGGCTGGCAGGGCAGCCTCCTCTGTGCTCTGGGCCTCTGTTCCGTCATCGCGGGCTGGGGGGAGGGAGGCTGGTGTTGGGGTGGCCGCTTGCGAAGGGTTCTTGCAGCTCTCAGCAGCCTGGGGCTCTGATCCATGTTGAGTCTCGGAAGGGACGGTGGGAGAGGCCAGGACGGGTCTGTCAGAGCCGCAGGGGTCAAGGGAAGAATTGTAGAGCAAATGAGTTTAGGAAGTGAGAACACGTTGGAGAGCCAGAGAGAGCAAGGACGAGCCAAGAATTTCAGTCTCTGCTCTTCCAAGGGGACTGGGCTCTGAGGAGCAGGGGCACAGGCTGAGGCCGGGACTGCCCTGCCTCCAGGTGGCAGGCGAGGGGTGGTGTGGGTGCCTCCCACCACCCTGCCCGCCCTTCAGCACGGGAATCCATCCCAATCCCCGGCCATGTGCTCTAGAGGGAACCGGAAGAGAACGAGGCCAGGCTGGTTCCCTCCCTGTGCCGCTGCCTGTGGCTTTTCCCCGAGGGGACAAGCTCAGGTGTTCATGCCCTGGGAGGAACGGGGCCCGGCTGTGTTCCCCGTCTGTTATGTTCCAGGCGTCTGTGGTTGCCTTGCTTCTCTGAGCGTCCCTTCTCTTCTTTCTGACCTTTCGCACCTTCCAGATGTCTCTACCACCACAGATCTCTCCTGAGGCTGCCCGTGGCTGCCAGGCCCCGGTCCTCCTCCCTGAGGAGTCTGAGGTTGGCCTGCGGAGAGGCTCTGCGCCGAGCCCCTGCCGCCTGGCGCCCCTGTGCGCAGCGAGTGCATGGCCGCAGCCTTGCTCCGTGCCTCCCGCTCCCCGTTCAGTGGCTGGGGCTTGCAGCAGCTTAATTTCCATGATCGGTTTGCATCACCCTGTGTGGCCAGCAAACATAAAAACTGATATCTCAACTCTTCTGGGGCGAATGGCATCCCACAACCCATGTCTTTTCCTTGGAGGGCGTCTTGAGACACCCCAGCCCCCTACCCCAGGGTTTTTAATTGTGTATTGGGAGACTACTCCTCATATAACGAAAACCTGCCTGTTTTCCCTACACATATCAGTGTTTATAGTCCCCGTGGGCTGTTCTCCGTGTCTCTGGGACCGGGTGCTTCCGTGTCTCTGGGACCGGGTGCTTCCGTGCCTGTTGGATGTGCCATGCTTGTGTTGCATGAGGCGGGGGAATGCGGGTTCTTTGTCATACAGAGCAGGGTTCATCGTGTCCCCATCTAGCTGTGAAATGACAGGATCCTCCAGGCTTGGGGCCTGTCTACACAGCCTGACCCAGCCTCCCCAAGCCTCTCCTGGCGTCTGAGTCTCCGGACTCTCTCTTCCCAAGGCCTTATGTGGAGGAGCCGCGGCACGTGCGGGTGCAGAAGGGCTCGGAGCCGCTGGGCATCTCCATCGTGAGTGGAGAGAAGGGCGGCGTCTACGTCTCCAAGGTGACCGTGGGGAGCATCGCGCACCAGGCCGGCCTTGAGTACGGGGATCAGTTGCTGGAGGTAAGGGAGCTGCCCTTCCGTCTGCTGCCCACGGAGTTCCCACCCTCCTTCCTCCCCTCCTCCTCCTCCTGTGGAAAAGCAATGCTCCCGGGTCCCCCGGCCTCCTCCGTGCCCACACCCACTGAGTCCGCCCCGGTGTCCCCCCAGTTCAATGGCATAAACCTGCGGAGCGCCACAGAGCAGCAGGCCCGGCTCATCATCGGGCAGCAGTGTGACACCATCACCATCCTGGCCCAGTACAACCCCCACATGCACCAGCTCAGCAGCCACTCCCGGTCCAGGTGAGCCCTGGGCCTGCCGGGCCGTGTGGGTGGGATGAGTGTGGCAGGAGCGAGACCCAGGTGGCCAGCTGCAAGTTCTGGGGATGGTGCTGCTGGCAGAGGGAGAGGCCACCATCCTGGGGTTTGGACAGGGGCACGTGGAGAGGATGTCTCCTCCTGAAATGGGGTGTGGAAAGGTGGCTGGGGTCCCCCTGGCCACCAGGGGCCTGTGGGGGAGACGTGCCCTGCAGGGCCGCTCTGCACGGCTCAGCAGGGGAGACGGGATGCACAGACAAGAAAAGGGATAGTGAGTTCATATGTCACCATGCCAGGCCCCTTTGGAGATGATCCCCGCGTTGAGGACAGGTTGGGAGGAGAGGACAGGCAGATGCTGTGGGGTGGATGACAGCAGTCCGAGCTCTCGATGTGTCTGCTCGTAGGGTGCAGAGCTGTGTGATCTTGTCCCTGTTCACAGCCCAGACCTGGTTACTACAGAAGAGAAGGTGGCTCTGGCCGGCTTCATGCTGCTGCTCATTCTTCCTGTCCTCTGTCCCCAGCTCCCACCTGGACCCTGTTGGCACCCACTCCTCTTTCCAGGGCAGTGGTTCCACCACCCCAGAGCACCCTTCTGCCATCGATGCGCTGACGAAGCAGGACGAGGGCCCTGGCACTCCCCCGGCCAAGCAGAGCACCCCCAGCTCCAGGTCAGACGCATGAGCTTTCCCTGTGTCCACCCTGGCCAGGAGCGCCGAGCACGTCCTCTGAGGGACATGGGCGCCGGGCAGCCGGCCTGCCCCTGTGCTGCCGGCCACATGCCATGTCTTCAGGACATGGGTCGGGGGCGCGCCATTCCTTTCCCCTCCTCCCTCTCTCTGTCCCTTTCTCTTTCAGTTTTCAACTCTTCTCTCGTTGACTCTTTCTTCACCTTCTTCTATCTCTTCTCTTTCCTCCTTTTCTCCTCCACTGGCTTTCTGATTCTGTCTTCAGATGCAGACCCACTGCCAGGCCCGGGGCTCTGGCTGTCTGCAGCGGTGGCGGCAGACCAGTTGCGGGCGTGTGCAGTGCCATTGAGGTGCCGTGGGGGCACTGCGGCCGCTGCAGAACAGTCAGGAACCGTCCCCAGCAGTGCCGGCAGAGGCAGTGGGAGCTGCAGCTGTGTCTAATCGTTCAGGATGGGCAGGAGCCGGGGGTGGGCACGAAGGGAAGTCCAGGCCAAGGAAGCAGGGTTTGTGTGGACAGGAGGTGGCAGATGCTCTTGTAGGAGCTGCACGGTGTCTACCTGGCCTGGGGAGGGAAGGAGGGCACCTAGGCCCAGGTGTGATGCAGTCCCTCTGCAGTCTGGTGGAGCCGTGTCTCCAGCACCCTGGGGCCATGGGGCCGTGGGGCCGTGACCAAGCCCCAGGTGGCGTCAAACTCAGCGAGGCCAGCTTTGCGTTCTGTGTGCAAGGATCAGTCACGGAACCTACGGACAGCAGAGTTATAGTCCCAGGCCAGCCTCCCTGAGGTCCCTTTCATCAGTCTCTATCCGTCCCCATCCCTCCGTGTGTGCACCAGCTTGTGTTCCGCTCCCCTTGGTTATTAGTACCTTGGTAGCCAGGGGTTACCACTGTAGGACTTAGCAATTCCTGCTCTACAGAAGCCACCTGGTAGATGTTTGCTGAGAGAGTCGTGCTCCAGACAGTGAGATCATTTGCCTTTCCTTACACAGAACTGAGTTAGGAAGACAGACAGGTGTGACCCAGGTGGGCAAGATGTCCCCTAAGGCGTGAGGTTGATGACTCAGCAGGGAGCAGGGGTGTTGGTTTTGACTCTTCCCACCTGGCTCCGGGCCTGGGGCCGTGCCTTCACCCCTGCTGCACCTTGACACCCTGCCCTGTGTGACAAGCCAGTAGGCCTAAAGCCCTCAGTGGGCCAGCCACCTGTCAGCTCCCCGTGGGCCTGAGACCCCGGGCAGCAAGCAGAACGCAGTTAGGCATTGGCCACTGTTTTGTCTTTTCGTGCCTTCCTCCCTCCTTTTGCACAATTAAGGAACTTCATTTTCTTCCCAAAAGGATTGCGGGAGATCCCAACAAGAAGGCCCTGGAGCCACGCGTTGTCTTCATCAAAAAGTCCCAGCTGGAGCTTGGGGTGCACTTGTGCGGTGGGAACCTGCACGGGGTGTTTGTGGCCGAGGTGGAGGATGACAGTCCTGCCAAGGGTCCTGATGGCCTCGTGCCAGGGGACCTCATCCTCGAGGTGAGTCCTGGGCCGCCGAGCAGGCCAGGCCGCTGTCCCTCTCATGTTGGGCTTGCCACCTGGGCCGCCGATTGATTTTCAATCCTTGTACACCCAGAATGCTGCCAGAGCCCCTTTGAGGGTCCCCGGGAAGCTAGGCAGGCCACCGAGGGAACCTGAGAGCAGCAGAGCCTTGGCGGGGGCACTGGGCACCAAGAGGAGAAGCTCTCATTAGCAGAAGGGCTCTGGCGACGGGAGAGGATTGTCTCCTGCCTCATGGGGGAGATGGCCCGTGGGCATTGAAAGGTGCAAGTAGCAGAAGCAAGAGAAAGGGCCGTATTCTCGATAGCCCTTACTTGCTGGGCGCCAGAGTGAGGCTTTTCCTGGGATGAGCTATGGAGGGCAGAGCAGCCACCTGCAGAGGACCTGGTGGCTAGGGAGTGTCCACAGGACCCAGCCCTTCCCACGGAGGGAGGCAGGCAGGTGCTCAGTTGGTGAAGACCATTGAATCTCTGCCACCGTAACTGGCCCCTCACGGGTGCCCACGCCACCCATGGCTTGGGCTTCTGCCTTCTGACCCGGCACCCCTCCCCCGGGCAGTATGGCAGTCTGGACGTGCGGAGCAAGACGGCGGAGGAGGTCTACGTGGAGATGCTGAAGCCCAGGGACGGCGTCCGCCTGAAGGTGCAGTACCGCCCCGAGGAGTTCACCAAGATCAAGGGCCTGCCTGGCGACAGCTTCTACATCAGGTACCGGTAGCTGGGGATTCGGGGGCAGGGGAGGGGCTCTCCGTGGAGACTCTTCCTGGCAAGTGTCTCTGTTTCTTGCCTCCGAGGCTGGGGCCCTCCGGTCTGCATACTCATGGCGAGAGGCTTGTGATGTGGAGCAACCCTTGAGGGCTTAAAGGACCAGATGGGCTCCCCCTTTAGGGCTCAGGGCCCGGGGAAGTTTGAGACTATAGAGTCCCGTTTTCCTGTGGGCTGTGTTCCTCTCCTGCTGGTCTCCCCGACTCGGTTGTGCAGGTCCCACTGCAGTGTGTGGACTTCCAGCCATCCGCGATGTCCTTAAGTGCTGTACGAAATGCTGTGTGAGGCTGAGTCACGCATTTTCTAGAAGGGGCTCAGAGCTTTCTTCCTGTTCTCTTAAGTTCTGAGACCACAAAAAGAATAAAACACTGATGTGGTACAGCTGCCTGTCCCTAGAGTCCAAGGTGACATGTTTCTACCCTAGGGAGTTTCCAATCTGTGGGAACCAGAGGCCCTGCCTGTGAAGAGGGGGCAGGTGGGAAAGGCCCACCTAGAAGGGGAAGACCTGGCCTTGTCCTTGGCGAGTTCTTTTTCTGGTGGGGATGAGCCCCCAGTCTTAGGGGGAGAGGCAACGTCTTTGTCCTGCTGTGCAAGGTACCAGGCTCCCTCCGTTGGGAACCCCCCCAGAACAGAGAGGGGCGCTCCCCGATGGAGTGTGGAGATGGCTCGCAGAGGGGTGGCCGCCTTAGGGGCCTGGCTGCTGGAGGTATGCAGGGCGTCCTCGGCAGCAAGGCTCCTGATCGTAGTCCCTGTGTCCCGTGGCCCAGGGCCCTGTACGACCGGCTGGCAGAGGTGGAGCACGAGCTGAGCTTTAAGAAGGACGACATCCTCTATGTGGATGACACCTTGCCCCAGGGCACGTTTGGGTCCTGGATGGCGTGGCAGTTGGACGAGAATGCCCGGAAGATCCAGCGCGGGCAGATTCCCAGCAAATACATGTGAGTGTCTAGTGTCTTCTGCCCCGGGATGGTTGGGGCGGGGGCCGCTGGCCCTGGAGCTTCCCAGCGAGGCCGGGGCCTCGGCTGCTGGGGGCTAATGCTGCCGCTCATCTCAGCTTCCGGCCAAAATCGCTTGTCCTGAAAGCTGCTCCTGGCATGAGTCAGTGCAGGGCAGGAGCGCAGTGGCGAGCCAGGAGGCATAGCTGCTTTTTAAAAGCAGGTGTGTGGAGATGTCACATGCCGACCAGCCCAAGGTGCGCAGTTCCACGGCGTTGAGCATATTTGCAGGAGTGCGTAGCCAGCACCACGGTCATTTTTAGGGCATCGTCACCTCTTCACACAGAAGCCCCTTACTGTTGTGTGTCACCCCCTCGCCCCTCTGTCCTCTCATCCCCATCTGTCCCCCAGCCCTAATCAACCACTAACCTGTAGGCGTCCCTGTTCTGCGCTTGGGCGTGCATGGAATCACACCTTTTGTGTCTGGCTCCTCGTACTGAGTGTAGTGTAGTGTCTTCGAGGTCGCCTGTGTCCCGGCTGCACTCCTTGCTGTGGCAGGAAGCACAGCTTGTAATGTCACCGAGTGAAGGCTGCCCTAGCGCTTCTCTTGACACTGAGCTGAAATCCGCCTGCTCCGAGGACTTGTCCCCAGCCGCAGCAGCGGCACCAAGCGGTCCTGGGGGCGTGGGGGGGAGAGGTAGCCGGCGCCTGCAGAGGAGTGGGGGGGAAGCTGGCTCCCGGCCCAGCTGTCCTCACTGGGAGGCTCGTGGGGGACAGCCCCGACAGCCTTCCCAGCATCGTCCTTCCCTGTGACTGCAGGATGGACCAAGAATTCTCCAGGAGGCTCAGCACGTCCGAGGTCAAAGACGACAATAGCGCCACAAAGACGCTGTCGGCGGCCGCGCGCCGGTCCTTCTTCCGGAGGAAGCACAAGCACAAACGCAGCGGGTCCAAGGATGGCAAAGACCTCCTCGCCTTGGACGCCTTTTCCAGCGACTCCATTCCACTCTTTGAAGGCAAGTGGCCGAGCGCGTTTTCCCCCGGGCTGTCCAGGTGAGGTCTGCTGTTGGTCCCAGAAGCTTCCCAGCAGGGTCTTAAACAAAGTAGAAGTTGACTTTGCTTTCATGCACAAGCCTGGAGGTAGGCGTCTGACGGTCAGGTGGTGCTGCATCTTTAGAGCCACATCCACGACGGGGTGTGACTCTCGTCCTCAGGTCCCCTCACGGTCGGCACGGCCGTCATTGCAGCTGCAGCCATCGTGTCCGTGTTTCAGGAAGGAGGATGGGGAAGGCACATGCGCCTCAGCTGAGTGTGCTTCTTTAAACAGCGTGTCTGGAAGCCCCTCGCTGCGGCTTCCACTTACATCTCGTTGGCCACTTGCATCTGCAAGGAGGCAGAAAAGGCGTGTTTTAGCTGGGTGCGTTGATGGCCTCTGCAGCAGGTTCTGTTAGTGAGGGAGAACGGGCGAACAGGTATTGGGGTAGGCGAAAAGCAGTCTCTGCTTGTTGCATTGCTGCTTGTTTGTTTTTGGGTTATTATGGGCAGTTTGGTAGTGACCTAGGGCCACGGTTCTCTGCAGATCTTTGGGGTTGCTGTGTTCGTTAACGATTCTTGCAAGATCCTCCCGGGCCAGGACGCTGAGCCAGGGCTGGAGCTGAGCACCTGGAATGTCAGACTCCGCCTGGCAGGTGGCCCCTGTGGAAAGGACGCAATTGTCCTGTAAAGCAGGAGGCTCCTTGTGAACTGGCTGGAGTGTAGACGCTGCCCTAGAATACGTGCCCTCCCCGGGCAGGCAGGGGTGGGGGTAGCAGCGGGTAGGACAGCTGGCTGCCCCCTTCCCTCCTGCCCTCCCTCCCTCCCTTCTTTATTTTTAAAATTAAGACCTCAGGCCTAGCAAGTTGAGTAAGTCACACCTGTAGTTAATGTCCTGCTGTCACCGTCTGTTGGGACAGTAGTTGGCAGGCTGCAGCCCACAGGCCAAGTCTGGCCCGCTACACCTGTTTTTGTATGGCCTCCGAGCTCAGCCTGGGTTTTTACATTTTAAGACATAAGACGTAAAATCATCTGTTAGCCTTTTGGTAATAATAGATGCTCAATTTGTCTTTTTGCCTTCAAAGCCTAAAATATCTAAAATGTCACTATCTTCCCCTTTATAGCAAAACTTTGCCAACCTGTTAATCCAGGCAAGATTGCACCCTTATTTTGTTCTTTGGGGTTTTTTCCCCTTCACTCTTTTGGTCTCTGCTCTCATGTCTCCCAAGCCTTTCTCAGCAGACGCCATTTCCTGTGTGCGCAGCGTGTCCAACAGATGTGCTTGAGCCTTTGAAAGAGCCATTTGTCTCTCTCTCTCTCTCTCTTTTTTTCCTTCAGATTTTTTTGCACTGTATATTTTGAAGTTGTCATTAGGTACATACACCTTTCTAATTATTATATTTGCCTGGCAGATCGACTCTTTTATAATTATGAAATGTCCTTCCTGATCTCTAATAATGTTTCTTGCCTGAAAGTCTATTTTGATATTTTTATTGTCATACCAGTTTTATTTTGGTGACTGTTTGTGTGATCCATCTTTTCCCATCCTTTTGCTTTAAACTTTTCTGTAGCTTTATATTTAAATATCTCTTGTAATTAGCATGTGGGTTTTTTTTTAATCCACTGTAGCAATCTGCCTTTTAAAGATTTTGTCAGAGTATAACAGGCACAGCAGTGTGCACACACACTTGCGGAAGAGTGAACAGCTGAGGAGTTGCCAGTCTGAACACACCGTTACAATCTCTGTCATTTAATCAGAGTGTTGAATCCATTGCATAAAATGTAATGTATCAGGACATTTACCATCTTACTGCTTGCGTTCTGTTTATACCTGTTTTCTGTTTGTCTCTCCTTTCTTGCTTTTGTTTTGATTAATCAATATTTTTATTATTCTCTCCTTCCCTCAACTCTTAGTCTTTAGTTGTTTTTGTTTTGTTCCTTTGGGGGCCACAGTAGCCTCACAATGTATCTCTCTGAACTGCTGTGACAGAAATCACTACTGTGACCACTTCCCTGATAATTCTTTTTTTTTTTTTTTTTTTTGATACAGAGTCTCACTCTGTTGCCTGGGCTAGAGTGCCGTGGCGTCCGCCTAGCTCACAGCAACCTCAAACTCTTGGGCTCAAGCGATCTTCCTGCCTTAGCCTCCCCGAGTAGCTGGGGCTATAGGCATGTGCCACCATGCCTGGCTAATTTTTATTTATTTTTACATATATATATATATATATATTTTTTTTTTTAGTTGTCCAGCTAATTCCTTTCTATTTTTTTAGTAGAGACGGGGTCTTGCTCTTGCTCAGGCTGGTCTCGCACTCCTGAGCTCAAGCGATCCTCCCACCTCAGCCTCCCAGAGTGGTAGGATTATAGGCGTGAGCTGCCGCGCCCGGCCTAATCATCTGTTTTTAAAGACTGTGTTTGGTAACTGCGATGTCTCGTCATCCCTGAATTTCTCTTTGTTGTGTTTGTGTTTTTGTTTTTTGGATCTTGCTTCTTGGCGTGCCAGGTAATTATTTACTGAACTGTCGGAAATTGTCGAGGCTCTGAGTGATGTCACCGTCCTCCAGGGGGGCTTGCCCTCTCCTCTGAGACAGCACTGCTGCAGCTTGTGGCTCATCCTGATCCTACAGGGTGTCACTCCAGTGGTCCCAGCCGAGAGCCTGGGTGTCCCCTAGGGCCCTTCCTCCCTAGGGACTCTTGACTCCCATTTTTTTCTCTCCTTAGTACCATCAGACTGCAGAACACTCTGTGTTTCAGTGACTTTTTTAGACTCTTAGTTTCTTGCTCCTCACAGCCTAAGACTTTAGAGATGACGTTAGGGGAAAATATCTGGTATCAGACTTAGTTCTGTGCCCCTCCCTCCCTTCCCTCTGGAATCGTGGCCCCTCAGGTCTGGGCTGCGCTGGCAGCTCTAAGCTCCATTTTGGTCTCACTGCTTTGGAGATTCCCAAAAGCTCTTCCTGGATTCTCTGCCAATAGCAGCGGCCGCCTGCCTCGGTTCTCAGTCCTGAGCAGCGGCCCCGTCACTCTTACCCCCAAGGTGTGCAACTGCTCTGGCGGGGGAAGCGGCCTATAGAGCATCGGCTTACTGCTCTGTGCTTCCTTCCCTCCGGGATCCTGGCATGTCAAATCCTGGCTGTTGCAGCCACTCTGTGATGCCTTCAAAAAAATATTTCTTTTTTTGATCCAGGTTTTCTCGTTCTCAAAGATGTACTGTAAACTGTTCTGTTCTACCTAGCAGCAATACCAAGCAGCAATACCTACGTAATAGTTTAAAAGCCACCCCCACCCCCACCCCCACCCCCACCCCGGCAATGCTGGCACACAGTGGGAGTTCTGAATTCCTGCTTTAGTTCATGGCTTCCAGTGGCTTCCAGCTGCTGCGTGGCACCCCTGGTGCCGCTTCCTCCTTGCTTGTGCACTTACTGTGGTGGCTCCTAAGTAGACTTCAACTCTCTACCATGCAGAGGACAGTGGATGTCCTCATGCTTGTCTGTTTAGGGGCCTGTGCACAAGTGTCTCAGGAATGTTTGCAGAGGACTGGTTTCCCTTTTTAGTCTGCCAGGGCTGCCATAACAAAACGCCACAGACCAGGTGGCTTAAACAACAGGAATTTATTTTCTCACAGTTCTCCAGGTTGGAAACCAGATCAGGGAGCCAGCACGGCCAGGTGCTGGTGAGGGCTCTCTTCCTGGCTTGCAGACAGCTGCCTTCTTGCTGTGTCCTCACATGGTGGGGACAGGGACGGAGATCTCTAGTGTCTCATCCTCCAACAAGGCCACCGTCCTGTTGGATTAGGGCCCCACTCTTGTGACTTCATTCAACCCTTATTATGTCCTGAAGACCCTGTCTCCAGTTGCAGTCACGCTGGGGGTTAGGGCTTCAGCATGTGAATTTTGAGGGTACATAGTCTGGTCTGTAGCACCTTTTATGTTTGTTTATTTTGGTTTTTTATCTTTACAGTGACTTGGAACATAGCACCTTTTAAAGAAGGTCACTGTAGTGTGGTCTAAGACTATAACCCCCCAGGTCCAGCCTTCGCTGTGTCCTGCTTAGCTGTGATCTTGGATGGGCCACTCTTCTTCTCCAGCTGGAGTCAGTGACCCGTAAGATGCTTCCTAGGCCTGTGGCTCTGCCCTCGTGAGGGTTCCGACAAAGCAGATTACGCAGGGAGGAGTGGGGATCTCTAAATTGGCACCCCACCGTGTGGAATGTTAACAGTCGTTAATGGTTAAAGTACGGTTCTTGCTCAAGTAAATTGAGGGAATATTGATATAATGTCCATCAACAGGGAAGTGGATAAATATTAATAGATACGAAGTAACCGTGCATGGAATGTTCAAAAGGAATAAAGAAGATCAACTTGAGTCGGCACGGATGCGTCACAGAAACAACCCTGGATGACAGAGGGGGTCGCAAAATGTTTACAGCATCACATTGTGTTGAACAGACGCACTTAACACGCTTCTAGTTTTTTTAGCGTATAAAAATCAACTTACAGGAGTAACATCTGGAAGGATATCGTTCCAGCTCATAACAGTGGTTAGCTCCAAGGAGGCCAGTGGGGACAGGGACTGGGGAAGGATGTTGGCTTCGTCTGTGAGGTTCTGAGTTTTGATACTACACTTGATCTTAGCCAAAAGGCCGAGAAGCGATAGGTTCTGATTTTTGAAAGGGAGGACGTGTGTGTATATAAACTCTTCTTGGAAGTAGTTCTCTGCCCTGTGACTCCTCAGAGCCTTCGCTTAGAAACGCCTGGGGTCTCCAGGTGACAGACGTGACCGCCAAACCCTCCCCTGATTTTAAACAACAGAGCTGCCAGTCACCAGGTGTGACCATTGTATAGAAAGCGGGCAATCCTCAGTCTTAAAACCCACACACACAGGTGTGGGGCGAGGGAAGAGGCGAGGCTTTGCTCACTGTCTGTCAGCTCTGCCCTCACGTGAGGTTGGTCCTCACGGAGCCTGGCGCTGTGCCCGGCACCATGCTTGCGTTCCCCTAAGCCTTTCACCCTCCCGTCCTGCTCCCCTGTCCCACCTTGCTCCACAGATGTGTACAGATCCCTCCAGCGCTAGCCTCTCCCCGACCCTTCCTCCCCACCCCCCACCATCCTGAGCTCTGTCTTCCCCATCCCTTCGTGCCCACCCTCCCGCCCTGCTCTCTCTGGGGCACAGCTCTCGTCCCACCTCCCTCCTGGGCCTGCCCCGGCGTCTCCTCACCCTCTCCAACCCACGTAACCCCCATGTTCCTGGAGTTGTCCGGCAGCTCTTGGACACTCATCTTGCTTTTCATGAGTTGCTATCTAGGGTCTCCAGTTAGAGCGTGAGCTTTTCAGTGGCAAGGACTCTACATTCTATTTTTTGTGTTTCTGAGATGCCAGCACAGTGACTTATACCAGGGAGATGCCAAGAAGCTGCTTACTTGCTGGTTTTTAGACTCTGTCTTCCTGCAAGGACTTTTAATTCATTCTGCGGCAGGGGAGGTTTGCCACATGTGTCAGCTAGGATATTTTTTTGACTGCTTTAACCGAGACCAGGTAACAGCGGCTCATGCATGCTAGGAAGCTTACTTCTCTGCCATGTACAAGTTCCAGCTGGTGGGCGTCTGGGAGAGCCTGCTCTGTTCTGAGGGTCCCAGGGACGCAGGTCTCTTCTGTCTTGTGGCTCTGCCCTTTCATAAGGGTTGTCCTCGTCTGTGTGGTCAGAGCCAGCTCACAGCGCTCACCCATTGTGGCCAGTGGGCAGGGAAGCCTCACCTGTGTCACCCCCTGGGCAGGTCTGGGTCCCAGGACCACGCCTTCTGTGTTGGGGGGGGGAAGGCACTCTACCCCTGAGGCTGCATCCCAGAGAGCAGAGGAGGGTGGAGCTGGGGCGGGAGAAGCAGGCGTCAGGCACACGAGGAAGAATCGCACGGAGCAGAAGGAAGTACAGGACAAGTGGTGTCCTGTACAGCCAGAGTCCTGAACACCCTGGCTGCCTCGGGTGTTCACCAGGGCAGAGGGACGGGGTGCCTGGGACGTGGGACTTTCAGTTCAGTAGCTGGGAGAGTCCCAGGTGACCCGGGTGGGTGGGGTCAGGGAGCAGGGGTCCCGGCCCCTCCTGCCCCTCCACTGCAGGCTGGGCCCGTGACCCTGCCGCCCTGTCTCCCGCAGATTCTGTGAGCCTGGCCTACCAGCGGGTCCAGAAGGTGGACTGCACCTCCCTGAGGCCTGTGCTGATCCTGGGGCCTTTGCTGGACGTGGTGAAGGAGATGCTGGTGAACGAGGCTCCTGGCCAGTTCTGCAGATGCCCGCTTGGTAAGAGGCACCCTCCGTGCCTGCCGCGCCGTGTCTGTCCCCAGTCCCTGTCTCCGCGCCTGTACAGGGGGTGGCAGCACGAGGACCGGGCCTCCCAGGGTTTCAGAGCCCCCTACCTGGGTCAGATCCCGGCCTGGCCTCTGGCTCCTTCCCTGGGAAGGGGGCTCAACAGGATGGGGTTCCTGGTGGCTGCTGGGCGCAGTTCTTCTCCCGCTCCCTCCCCTGAGGCTCCGCAGGGCCCGGCGTCCTGACCCCCGGGTCTCTGCTTGGCAGAGGTGATGAAGGCCTCCCAGCAGGCCATTGAGCGGGGCGTCAAGGACTGCCTGTTTGTCGACTACAAGCGGAGGAGCGGACATTTCGATGTGACCACGGTGGCCTCGATCAAGGAGATCGCAGAAAAGGTACCCAAGGCTTCAGCCAGAGGGTTGGGTGTGCACTGGGGCCCTTGTCAGACCCCCACCCCTCCCCCCAAGTGTGCGGGTCTGGGCCCCTCGTCCGTGTTCTTCCACCCTGAGCGCTCTCAGACCCTCTGAGCCCACCTGCTCCTGGGCTCGGCCCCAGGGCTGCCACACCCAAACCAGCAGTGAACTGCGGTGAGAGTGTAGGGATTGCCCTGTCCCTGCCACCTCTCGCCCTCTGGGGCGATCTGATGACAGCTTTCAACTCTGGGGAGAGGCCTCTTGCGGAGCATCCCAGGGTGGGGTCCCTGAACACACATTTTCACATGCACCTTCTTCTGGGGACAGGGAGCACACTGTCCGACGGGGTCCCTGCCCTGCGAGGGCTGAGAGCCGTTGCTGTGGCTCTTGATGCTTTTCAACGTCCCCGGGTCCAAGCCAGGCAGTGTGAAGAGCGGGGACAGCTGTGGGGTGTGCTGGCACCCAGCTGCATGTCCGTCTGAGGGCGTGGCCCCTTCTGGGCTCCGTTTTCCGTGCGGCTCCACGTGCCCTGCTCGGCTTTGCTTTTCTCCCTGGCGGGTGAAGGCTTGGGGTTCTCACAGCTCGAAATGCACAGTGCCCAGTCGAGGTGGGGCTTTCGGGGGTCAGGAGAGCCGCAGGCGGGGTGACTGGGGCCTTGCTTTGGCGCACACTGCCCTGGAGGCTGAGGGGACCACGCGCATCTTGCAGTCACAGCCACACAAAAGCACACGAGTCTCCGGCTCACTCGCGCAGTCGGGCAGGGTGGGGCAGGGCTTTAAGAAGGCCCCGTATCTGGACAGAGGCAGGAAGGGAAGCGTGGGGCTGGGCTGGCCGGACTCCACCCACCCCTGCCCTGCAGCCTCGACCCCCATACAGCTGGCGTCCGTGGGGAGGTTTGCTGGGAGAGGTTTCCCCAGGTTCCTCGTGTGGTTTGCTGCCTTGCTCATGGGTAGAGCCTCGCGTGTTTGTTTATGGAGCAATGCAGCACTGCGTAAGGAGAGGGTGGGTCCCACTGGCTGCAGAGGGGAAGGACTGTCCCTCACCTGTCCTCTGGGGCTCACTCTGCACCCTGTTCCCCAGAACCGACACTGCCTCCTGGACATCGGCCCGCACGCCATCGAGCGGCTGCACCACATGCACATCTACCCCATCGTCATCTTCATCCACTACAAGAGCGCCAAGCACATCAAGTAGGCGAGCGGCCCGGGTGCCGAGGGCGGGGGCCCTGCTAGGGGTGGGCTGGGGGCTCTGGCAGGGAGTCAGGGGTGTTGGGGTGAGGGGGCACGGGCCTGCCGGCCTTGAAATAGGCAGCACATGTAGGAAGCTACCCTTCCCCTCCAGCCCCCTTCCCCCGTCCCCCACTCGGGGGGTGGTAGTGGCAGCCAAGTGCACCCCCCCCACTGCCCCTTCACCCTGTCCAGGTGCTGCACAGTCGCTGAGCGGGACCAGCTTGGTCTGTGTGGCTCCCCCACCCTGCCACCATCCCCCTCGTCTCTCAGCGTGGTACCCGGAGGCCAGAGGAGCCCAGAGACTTGGGCTAGGCCCAGCTCAGCTAGGAGCGGCCTGGGGCGTGGAGGAGCCCTTGCTTTCTCCGAGCTTGGGTTTCCGCACTGGTCGGGCTACGTGCTCGCCAAGGCCCCTCTCCATCTGGCCTTTCGGTGCTGCCACGCTCCTGGCACCTGCACCCGCTGGCAAGCCTGCTCTCGGGCATGCACTGGGGTGCCCGGCTCCCCCTCTGCCCGGAGCTCCCCACTGAGCTGTTGCCGTGCTCTATGGGGGGAGCATGCACAGCCTCCCACCCTGCCTCGATGGGGGTCCCTGTTCCCTGGACAGAGGAAGGAGAGGGGGCCCCGGGAGAGGCTCAGCCTGGTGTCCTGGCTGTCCCCCACAGGGAGCAGAGAGACCCCATCTACCTGAGGGACAAGGTGACTCAGAGGCATTCCAAAGAGCAGTTTGAGACGGCGCAGAAGATCGAGCAGGAGTACGGCAGGTACTTCACAGGTAGGTGTGCGGGGCCTGGAGGGGCGGGCAGTGGGCTGCGGGGCCGGCAGCAGAGGCATTCCCAAGACAGCTTTCTCAGAAACGGTGACAGCCCACACTTCTTGGGTGCTTATGAATGCTGTTGTGAGCGCTTGGGTTTCGAATGAGGGGTTCGGATTGCAGTCACAGGTCAACACCTTGATTTTTACAGGTTGAACGTAGCACGGGCACCCTATATCTCAGCTGCAGGTCCCCGGGCAGGCGGGGCCCACAGCCTGGGTGGCGGAGGCTGTGGCCGTCTGTCCCCAGCACCCTTTAGGACAGGCCAGTTTTGCTGTGGGATTTGGTGTAGAAAGGCTGCTTCGCTACCATTTCTGGTCTTCAAAATGAAACAAACCCACAGAAGCACAGCTTCAGTTTACCTGGCTTCCAGCCGTCAGCCTCTTCGGGGAAGTCAGTCACCTGTAGGGCGCTAGCACTGCGGTAGCAGAGAGGGGGCAGGGATTTTGATTACACTGTGTGGAGAGTGTTGAGATCTAGCCCAGAACCCACCGTGGTGCCTGTGCACGTGTGTACATGTGGGGCGTGCACGCATGTGTGGATTTTAATTTCCAGTTCATGGCAGACCCGTACTTTAGCCAAACATATTAATAATTCCTAGAGAAATGAAATTTAAAACTCCAAAACTTATAAAAGACAAGCCCTGATTTTTTTCATTAGATTCAGCAGACATAGAATTATGATATCCCATTTCCATAGCAGTTTCTAAGCGTTCATTGTCAATTTCGGACCATTGCCTGTCCCGGCCGGGGAGCGGTTTGTCCCTGGGGGCTATTCTGTGGAGCACGCCTGGAGTGGCCCTGGCCCGGCGTCTGTAGACCCGAGGCATTGACCGTCTGCAATGTGGAGCCGGCCCAAGTTAGAGACAAGCTGTCTTTGCTGGGACTGTCCTCTGGGCCATGGGGTGCCTGGTTTCTTAAACTCACCCTTGTTTCCTATAGAGGCTTGCTGCCAATTGGACCATGTTGACATGCCCCCCCCCCAAAAAAAAAAAAAAAAACAAAAAACTGCATTCCAGTGCTCTGGGATTCTCCTCCTCCACTGCAAGACTAGGCAAACCCAGCCCAGGGGGTCATTGCAATCGGGGTGGGCAGTTTACACATGAGCGGTCACCTCACCAGGGGCAATTCTCTGATGGAGGAGAGTCAGTGGGGACAGGGCAGAGTGCCAGGTAGCCCACTGCAGGCGGCCACCCCGTAGAAAGAGCTCAAGCTGTATTTATTTGCCTCATGCCTGGGGTCTTACACAGCTGAATGACCTGTGTATGTATTTGGGGGGCTCTTTTGCAGGGGTCGTCCAGGGAGGAGCCCTGTCGAGCATTTGCACTCAGATCTTGGCCATGGTCAGTCAAGAGCAGAACAAAGTCCTGTGGATTCCAGCCTGTCCGCTCTAGGAGAACGCTGTGCTGTGAAATGACCGCGCCGGCCACTGGTGTGAGTGAGTGCCTGGCTCCGCTCCTTTCTAGCCACTGGAAATCCCATCTGTCCGTGTACAGACTTGCGGGGAAGGATCCAGACCCAGGACTGCAGGAGCACCACCTTCGCAGACGGAGGGCCGCGGCCCCACGTGGTGGGCCCAGGCCGGCGGACTCTGCCTCTCTCACACGCGTGCTTTAAGACAAAACAAAACAGAAAACACAAAAGACTTTACATAGAGGGGTTCAACACCCACCTTTCTTTAGCCAGCCGATCCGAGATGCTGCAAAGAGGACCTTTCAGATCACACGTTTACAAGCCTTTCTAAGTATTGGGTGGTTTATGTTTACTTGAACGGCCCCGGGCTCCGGTGCCCGGCCCCTGCCCCCTCTGTCAACCCCTCCCGTGGCTTTGGTGTTGGCTTTGTTCCTGTCTTCCGCAAAAGGACCCTGGAACCTCACCGGGGGCTGCTTTGCTTTGGGAGGTTCTCGTCAGTGGGACCAGAGCTTTGACAGACTCCCTGCTCCTCGGGGGCACCTCTCCTGGAAGGACGGCATGACCGCCGGTGGCGGCAGAACCAGTGCCTTTGTGGGGCCGACTTGCCGGCAGCGGCGCTTTCCTCCTGCACTGGGGAGGGCTGCCGTGGCCACCTTTCCACCTCGCCTCCCAGCCTTCCTCTCCTGCCTTCCATGGCCTCTCGTCCCTTCTCCGTCTGTGTTTATGACTTAGGCGTTGTGTCTGGTCCCTCAGAGCCGCACGGGGTCACAAGGACACCGCTGGGTTCTGGGCCGGGTGTCAGGCCGGAGCCGATGCATGCCGTTGGGTCCTCCTTAGGTCCTGTTAGTCCTGACAGCCTTTATCAGTGCAATGTCTGCAGGGTAATTCTTAAACTTTATAGAGAGTGGCAGGAACATCAGTTCCTTTGATATGAAAACATTCATGTTTCGGACTTTGAATCGAGAGCTTTTAGGGAAAGCGTAATGGTTAGTGTTGTCACTATCAAAAATCTAAAAAGGAAAACTGGGATCTTCTAATGTTGGTTACAGCACTCATGGCATGACCCCTTACTCCATGAAGGTGTCTTTGTTTGGGGGCTTTTTTTTTTTTTTTTGCACTTCTGATGCTGGATATGTCTGGCTGAAGATTTGATGTGGTTTCTCCTTAAACTGTGCGTCCTGTTAATACTAGGTACTGTACTGGGCTCTGTTTTATGTGTCCTTGGGGTAGGATCTATATTTTAATACTGTTCCTAACATTTCATTTTACTAGCAAGAAATTTCTGATTTCATTTTATTCTTTGTAATTCTAGACGCTAGATGGTAGTTTAGCCATTAACTGACATTTTTAAAAAAGGGATATATTTTCTTGCACAGTTGTTCAAAAAAGAGACAAGTTTCAGTCCTCAATGCTGTCCTTTGTTTTTATAGGTACACGTTTTCTAGCTCAGACAACTGAGGAAAACTGTAGACTATTCTCGAGGTATTCAGTGGCGCACCCTCTGGGGCAGGGCTCGGGTGACGATGGTGCAGTGTGCACAGACAGGTACTGAGCTGACAGACTGGCATTCTCCGTACTACAATGTTACTTTGTATCAAAAGTTAAACAGACTTTAGTACAACAAATAAAGGTCAATTTCTGTAACCTGCTGTGCATGGAGATGCCTGAATCCCACTGGATTTCCATCCCTCCCTGTTCCCTCGGCTTCCTTCGTTCCTAACTCGAGCCTGCAGCTGGCGGTGGCGCACGCGTGAGGTTCCTTCCCGCTCTCGTGGTGATCGGGAGTCCCTGCTCTCTGCTCAGCATGCTCTGACAGCGCCGTCCCCGTCCCTCCCGTCTCCCCGCGCCGTGTGGTGTGGGGCAGCCGGGCAGCTGATCTGTGAGCGCCTGCCCTCCGCCTGCAGGTCTGGGCCGAGCCAGGCGCGACAGGCGTCCCCTGGCCGCCTCAGTGAGGCCTTGTCTAAGGCCCCAGGGTGGCAAGCGTGCTCCTGGTTGGGTTGCCCTGTGCTACCTCACAGCATCATGTTGGGACATGACCCAGCACTGCAGGGCTCCAGGGGCAGCCTGCTTGGGCCTGAAGTCCACGATCCAGGGAGGAGGTGGAGAACTGGACGAGGCTGGGAGGCTCGTGGCTGCAGGAAGCCAGGGCTGAGGCCTGGGCAGAGCAGAGACACACACACACCCCACCCCCGTGGCTCCTTGTGCTCGGAGGGGCTTGGAGGCAGAACATTCTGCATATGACTCACCCATGCAGCCATGGCGGCTGGACCAGCAGGCAGATGAGGTGTTGGTGCCTCCCCTCCCTTCCCGGCTAGGTGGCCTCTAAGGCCCCTCCTGGCTCTGCGATGCGCACGGGGAACAGGACTCAGACGGAGCCCCACGCCTGGCGCTGCACAAGCCGAGGGAAACCACGGATCCGAGGCTGGAGGAGGCCTACCGCTTAGGAGCAGGCCGGAGCGCCTCTGGGGTGGGAGCCAAGCACCGGCCAAAGCCTCCCACCTCTCACAGCTTTGAGACCCGACAGAGCAGCCAGGCCGCCGCCTCCTTTGGGGTTCGTGGGACAGAAGACCCCCTGGGTCCCAATGTCAAGGACAGAGAGATACTCAAAGTGCAGGAGGGGCACGGGGTAAACCAAACTCCAGCCTAAACTCCAGATCAGGGAGCATGAGCTGGCCCTGGGATGATGGTCCTCCCAGAGGGTGGGTGCTCCGGGGCAGGACCCTGAGCAGGCTGGGCCCTCCCACTCTCCTTTGTTGGTGTTCCAGCCTGTGGGTTTCCTCAACCCTGTTCCGTCTGTCCACACTCTCATCTGCTCTCACCTTCCAGGGTGTAGTCTCTGGCCGCATGCCGGTTCCTCTTCAGTTACCCCCGTTATGTGTTTTTGTCTTTTCTTGCAACTGTGCAGTGTGTCGTGGAAGAGCATGCATGGTATAAATGTATAGTTTAAGAATAAATGGATGGTATGGCCACCACCACTTAGAAGCCCTTGGATGCCCTCACCCAGCTGGGCTCCCCACCGTCTCCACCAAAGTAAGCACTGGCTTGACTTGGAGTTTAATAATTTCCTTGCTTTTCTGTATAGTTTTACCTCCAGTGGGGGCATCTTAAAACAATGTTCAGTTTTGAAAACACTGCACATCAAACACAAACTTAGCTGTGTGGGAAAAGCACAATGTTGCCACTGTCAGATGAAGTCCCAGGAGAAGGTAGTAGCATCTCTGGGTCAGAGTGGACCTCAGCTTCCCCAGGAATTTACAAGGACTCCTTCTGGGGGATAGCAGGGTCTGCTGGCAGCGTTATCCACGGCCCAGGCCTTGACCGTCTGGCAGAAATGTGGATAAAAGGGTGTGGGCTGCTGTTTTCTGTTTGTACACTCACCGCAGCCGACCTCGGGAGCAAGGCAATCACCGGGGTGAAGCTTGGCGCTCCAGGCGATCTGGGGAGCAGGAGCCCATCATCCACTGTGTCGGGATCACACTATAGAAAGAGGTCCTGTTTCTAGCTAAGCTGGGTGAAGCCCGCGGGGGCCTGGGTGCTGACGGTCCCCGCCGAGTCTGCCCTGAGGGCCTGCTCCAGACCTAACTCCTCGCCCCCAAGCCGCTGCCAGCTTCTATCTTGGCTCCTCTCTTTTCCTGAGCATCTCCTGGGAATGTTCTTGATGTCTTCCTTTGATGATCCAGTCCTCCTCCTTCGCGGGTCTGTGTCCTACGAGGAAACGGGAAGAACAGGAGTTAACCCTGGACCTGGATTCTTTGCCCACTGGACAGTGACTGGGTTTACCTTCTCCTAGCGTCACTTTCCAGAAAAGGTCCGGATGACTAAAAAACTAGCAAAGTGTGTTCATCCCTGTGTGTGGATTGGTGCCTCTGGGTTGGGAGGCTGGGAGTGTGCACACAGATCCGGGAGCCAGGATGACAAGGGCCGTGTGAACACCTGCCGCGGACACCTGCAGCTTTGGTTACGCACGCATGACGTGTGTTGGACAGCCTGGCCCAGGCCCCTCAGGTTCTGATCTATGCCTCAACATCTTGTCATTTTACTATTCTTCCATGGAAATCCACTCACCTTTTATCCTTCAATCCCGTCTATTGAGTTTTCCAGTTTTGCTAACATGTTTTTAGTTCCCAAGAGCTTTTTGATTATGCCCTGTACTTGTTTCATCGATACAATGTCTAATCTGAGGATAGTATTTATTTTTTTCTCTGTCCCACAAGATTCTAATTCCTCTAAGTTTTATTTTTCCTTTTTCTTTTTATTTGCCTTGGTCTCTGTCTTGTCCATTAGAGGCTTTAGCCTCAGGTGTCAGGTGGTCCCTGGGTTGCCAGCGAGGAAGGCTGGAGAACGTAACAGTACAAAGCAAGTCTGAGTGGCACTGTAGGGTGGCCGGGCTGGGGAATCTCAGTGATGGTCTCTTTAGGTCTTTCTTCGGGGACTTGTTAGGTTCCCCAAAGGGGCCCTTCTGATGGAAGGGGTCAACCTGGCAGCGTCTGTGAGCCCACTGGGGTTCACGGCCAGGTGAAGCTCTGTGCCCTTGGCATTCAGTATAGCAGCATACTGCCGTACCTAATCTTTTTGTTTTCGGTGTGGTGCCAATTCTCAGATCTGTGCTGCTGTCCCCTAGTCCAGAAGCCTCTCTTGTCCTCTCTAGGTAGTAAACCTCTTGGCTTCTGCCCAGTTGAGGGAAAGGCTGTAGTCCAAGAACTTGGAAACTAGGAATCGGTTTCTCAACGGCTATTACCCATCCCATATTTAAGCCGTCCCTCTCCCTCACATTCTAGAAGGAACAGTGCCACACAGTTCCTTGTATTCAAAGATTCTGAGCATTTCCCCTGCTGGTTTGGGTTTGGTGTTCTCAGGTCTGCTAAGGAGTTTGCCCACTGGTCTGTCTGCTTTTCAGCTTCTAAAATGATCTTGTGGTTGTTGCCTTTTTGTTCTCCCCATATTTCTAGAGTTATGTCTTTTTTAAAGAGAAATCTTTTTTACTATATTTACTGGTTTTTAATGAGGAGCAAAATTAAATGTTTGTATCTATCTGTTTTCTTAACCCGTAAGTAAGGTTTATATATTTTTGTATTTCTCTACTCTTATTTTACTATCATTTATTGGAGTCTTGGACTAAAATTATACCTTATTCCTTTTAACAGCAGCGTCCTCTTTTAAAGTTTGTGGCTGTGTCGGCCAGACTTTAGGGCGGCAGAACCAGGGTGATTGATACAAAAATTTGTCACAAGGAATTGGCTTACCTGATTATGGGTGATGACTAAGCAAGTCCGAAATCTGCGAAGCTGGTAGTCCAGGCGGGAAAGTCATGGGCACAGACCACAGCTAATGTCTGGCAGTCAGGTAAGGAAGAGTGTGAACAGGGTAGAACTCCGCAGGTACAGGTACACTTGATGCGGCTGTCCACAGGTGGAATTTCTGCTTTCTCAGGGAAGCTTCAGCTTTTGAGTCCTTTTACGCTTTCTGCTTTTAAGGCCTTGTAACTGACTGAGTCAGCCCATCCAGTTCATCCAGCATTTCCTCCCTTAATATCAACTGATTAGGAACTTCAATCACATCTGCAAAATACCTTCACAGCAGCCCCCTAGCTCGGTGTTTAGTTCAATAACTGGGACTGTGGCTGAGCCAAGTTGACATGTCCCCCCACCAAAAAAAAAAAAACCCATTGCAGTGAATTCGACAGTAACTTACTTAAACAGTTCCCCATAACTGGGCATTGGGATTAAAGGGTTTTTCCATTGTTGTTGCTGTTGTGTTTATAAACTTATTTAACTTTATCATCACAGAAGATTCTAGGGGGAGTTCATAGTTGATAGACAAGGATATCAAGGCTTTAGGCAGTCACAGTAAATGCAAGCCCCTTCTTATGCTGTGTTACCATTAGGGATAAAAGAAAACTCCTCATTTTGGAGTTGCTCTCTGTGGTCTCTCACAGATGCTACCTGCTCTGAGCAAGTACACTGTCGAAGCTGCTTTACCCTCAAGTCAGTGCAGATGCACAGAGATGCTGAGAACTAAGTGACTGTGACAACAGGAAGTGGGACGGCAGGGCCCTGGGAGGCCTCTGTGGGGCCAGGCTGTCCCCTGAGCATGCCTGGGTGCACGACCCGCATCTGCTGCGCATCTCAGAACATGGGATAAACGAGAACGGAAGCCAACATTTCAGCACCTGTGTGTGCTGGTGTTGGTTTGCCATGGAAATAAAAACAGTAAATGTAAAATTAGAAGATATTTTGCTGGAAATAACTGCCTCTTTTTTGACTATTAGCTTATTTTTATTCAGGTTATCTTCTAATAATTAGAATGAAGATAATACACGTTTAGCCTTTGCATTTTACAAGTTTGCATATTTCTTGAGGTTTGGTAATTTATTTTTACATTTTTGTATTTGAAATATATTAAATATTTACTTTTGTTATCACATTTTATAATTCCTAAACAATTCATTTTATTTTTAAAAACCAATGTATTTTTTAAGGTGACATTTTTTATAACATCCTAAGTAATTATTTTTAAGGGGCTACAGAGTTTGGACTAATCAGGGGACTCTAGGAGGCTGCTGCCTGAGGTACTCTTCATTTGTGGTGAATACAATTGTTTGTTTAAAACCAGAAATCTCAGAGTTGACTCTGAAAGGTGTGTGT